GAGGAAAGGAAGGAGGAAAGGGGATTCCTCACCGAGGCGATGGCGGCGACCGGCGTGGGAAGAGACGAGCGGCGATGACCGGCGACGCGGAGGCACGGACGGGCGGCGGCGACACCCTAGGAGAAGATGGAGAGGCGTTAGGAGAGGAGACGACGACCACGGCGGCTTGAATTGTCGGCCGGAGATGGAGGGGAGGGAAAAACTCACCGGCTCGCGAGGGGAGAGGTGCTCCGGTGGGATTCCGGCGACGCGAGGCGGCGGCCGGGAAAGCTCTTGCGGCGGCGAAGCTAACGGCGGCGGCGGTTTGGCGCGGCGGCGACTCTAGCGGCGGCGGCTCGCGGCCGAAGGCGGCGGCAAGCGGCGGCACTAGCAACAAGCGGCGCGAGCGCGATAGGAGGCACGGGAGAGCGCGGCGAGTGCGAAAAACGAGAGAGGAAGACGCGGGGAGCGATTTATAGGTGCGGGAGGGGGCGGACGTGGCCGGGGAGGTGGCCGATTTGGCCGGCGACGTGGGGAGTGGAGGGAGAGTGAGAGAGGTGGATTCGAAATCGAATCCCGCCCTCTCGAGCGCGCGCGCGGGCCGGGAGATGCGGGGGAAGAGGCGGCGACGTGGGCGCGAGGTGCGGGCGCGGAGAGGGACGGAGAAGGCGGGCGGCGTGGGGAGGTGGGGCGCCGGCGGTTGGGGCTCGGCTCCAACCGGCTAGAGGAGGAAGACGACCGACAGGTGGGCCCCACCTGTCGGCGCCCGAAGGAGAGAGGGAGGGAGGGAGGACTTCGGGGAGGGGAAAGGGGAACGGGCCGGCCCACAAGGGGAGGCCGAGCGCGGGCGACGGGTGGACTGGGCCGACGGCCCAAGAAGAGGAAAAAGGAGGAAACAGGAAAAAGAAAAAGAAAAGAAAGGATTTTCCTGGGATTTAAAAATTGCACTTTGGTGATTTTTAATTGGTTAAAATTATTTCCAAGGCTCTGAAAATTCCACTAAAAATCCTGTTAATATATTGTGACATGTAGAATCCAAGAAAAATTCCACATGCCGATTCCGATTATTATTTGCATTTATTAATTAGGGAATTAGCTCTAGGTTAATTAAGATAATTTCTTCGGACGATTTATTTAGCCAATTTTTAAAGCAAGCAAAAGGGGGGAAACTTCAGGGCGTGACAACCATGGCCCCGGTGAGCCCCTGGGATCGCAGGCCCACCAGGCGGTCGAGGACGGCGTCGTACTCCTCCCCCAGATCTACCGGCGCCCGCCAGCTGGAGACCTGCGCCGGGGGCTGGCTTGGAAGTCGGAGGCGCGCTTCGTTGGCGAGGGAGGTGTAGAACCAGTCGCTCTTCCAGTCGTCCCACTTCTTGCGGAGGACGCAGGGGATGTAGCGGTTCAGCACCGGCCCCCGCGGCTGGAAGTAGCAGCCGCCAACCACCGACGGCGGTGACACCGACTGCACGGTGAAGAACCACCGGAACAGCTGAAGAGAGGGGCGCACCCCAATGAACATCTCGCACAGGTGCGCGAAGATGGCCAATGTCATCACCGCATTGGGGGTGAGGTGCGCCATCTGGAGATCGTAGAACTCCAGGACATCCATGAAGAAATGAGAAAATGGCGGGACCAGCCCAGCCATCGCGAAGGGGAGGAAGAAGATGGACCGCCCCGGGTAGTCTGGTGCCGGGCGCCCCTTGCCCAGCATCACTATCTCCCGACCGGTGGCGGACTCCGGCATGAAGCGGCGCGGCAGTCCGGCGTGCCTCTCATTCACAATGCGGGAAGGCGGTAGCACGCTGCCGTCGAGCAGAGCAGAGCCCCGTGCCATGGCGGCGGAGGATGAGATGATTGAGAACGAGCGCGTGTGGCGAAAGTGGGGCGTAGCAGAGAAAGGGTTAGAGCTCAGGTGGCGAAGGCAAGAGGAACAATGGCGAAAGGAAGGGAGCAAATCCTTTTCTCGATGCTTTTATACCCTTGCCATCGCTGGGCCTGGCTCCTCGTTTCTCGCGCCCACTACCTCGCTCCCTCGTATCTCGCTATCTCGCTCCCTCGTTTCCCGCGCCCACGCTTCCACTAATCCCATTCGCCCGCTTACGGCGCATGAAGTGGATATGCGGTTGTGGCATTCGAAATGGATCGTATCGTGCGCGCGTTAATTACGCTCGCCGACCGAAGCGGCGTTACCGTATCTCCGGGCGAGACAAATCTGCTCACCCAGATTCGCGCGCCGCTCAAGTGGTGTGGCAGTCTTGAATAGACCGCCCATTATGGACAACCAAAGTTATCAATACCAATGTGCATGGATTGAGACCGTTGGGTATTTTGCCCAACTACGGAGACCGGTCCCACCTGTCACCAGGCTTTAGGGGTGGCGTCACACCTGACCGCTTCCCTTGGGAAGGAAAATTGCTCTGGCATAACGCCGGGGGCTACTGTCGGTGATATGGGACCGGGAGTATTGCGCCCGGAGGCTTGAGGCAGATGGAATCGCCCACGTGGCCTGGCACCTTCGGGGACGTCGGGCCCGAGGGTGAGGTGTCCGCCCTCCTCCTGATTTCCCCGAGGGGGGGTCGGGTTGCACCTGCCCCGACCCCGAGGGCCGAGGTGCCCCGACCCCCTGAGGGGTTTGCACTATGTACATGGGTTGGGTGAGCACAGCAGGGCTCACCTAACCGCATTTATTGCGCATCGGCTAAGCGTGTCACGCCGCACGAAGTGCAGTGCAGTGCACTCGATTATCCGGTCTGTGACCAGTCACAGACCGGTCAGATCGCGGGTTAGGTGGCGGCAGGCGGTCTGACGCACGCCTTGCCCCATCCCGTCAAGGTGTGAGCTTCTAAGCACTTCCCCCCCCCAACTGGAGCTAGCGTGTTACATCCCAGAGATGGCACGTTAGCCCCGATCGATTTATACCAGGCTTCATCCTAACCATTACAGGCGAGGTGTTACACGAAGAAGGGCAAACATGCATGTTATTAAACTGACGCATGGTGGACAAGAATGACCGGTCTGACACTGATCGCATCAGCAACGGGCAGCCACGATCTCACGTTGCGCCTGTCTCCGCCGGGAGTGGAGGTAGGTGTGGGCCGTCCCATCGGAGTGTCATTCGGAGGGCAACCATACCAATCTCCGTCCATAAAGAGAAGAAAAGTCCAGTTTGGAAAGAGAAGGGTGCATGTGGTATCCCCTTGAAGTATAAAAGGAGGACCTTGCCCATAGAGAAGGGGTTGGTTGATTCTTTCCCGGATTGAGTGCTGAGAACGGGGGGGGAAGTCAGCTCACACTTTGTAACTCATTCATACACAGATCCACCAAAACACAGGAGTAGGGTATTACGCTTCTCAGCGGCCCGAACCTGTATAGATCGCCGGTGTCTCGTGTTTCTTGCTGGCAGACGATCTTTCCACATACAGAGAGAGAGCGAGAGCTTGAGATTGCACCCTAAGCCCCCGGCCGAACCGGCAAAGGGGGGCCTGCGCGGTCTCCCGGTGAGGAGCCACGAGCTCCGTCAGACATGTATACCGCAAGGACAACATCGAACCGGATGATCTAGCACGGCGTGCGTCCAGATGAGAGCCACTCGAACCTAGCACCTTTCTGGACGTCCTGACAAGGCCATCAGTGAAAGACGCAAGCGGCAAAGATAGCCCGGTCTCCCTCAACAATAGCTCAGGGGCTACAAAGGCAGAGCGCGTCGTTGCCGACATTGAGACCACAGACGACTGGCACACCCCACTCATCAAATTCATAGGCAGCGAAGAGTTGCCCGAGGACGACGCAAAAGCAGAGAAAATATCCCGTAAAGCAAAAGTCTACTGTATGATAGGCAACGATCTATACAAGAAGGCGCCAAACGGGGTACTTCTAAAATGCGTCTCGTCCGACGACGGCAGACATCTCCTCCTCGATATACATGAAAGGATCTGTGGGTCACATGCCGCCGGTCGGACATTAGTCGGAAAGGCTTTTCGACAAGGGTTCTTGTAACGCCCCGATTTTCGTTCGGGTTTAAAAATCAATTAATAATACATTTTCTAGAAATTAAATAAAAGTTAAATCAATTTATCCAAGTGAAATGTTGGGAGAATTAAAATTTTCCCTTAAAAATCATTGGCCGGGAATATTTTGTAATATTCTTTGTGCCCTAATGTACTCTCCGGAATTTTCCGTGAATTTTCGGAGCTCGAGAAATAGTTTTAATAGCACAAAGGTCATTGCATCAATTTAAATAAAAAGAAAACAAAATAAACTTCCCCTTCCTCCCTTTCGGGCTCGGCCCAAAATCCTCTCTCCTTCCCCTCCCGCGGCCCGGCTTGCCTCCCCTTTTTGGCGCAAGTCTTCTTTTCCTCCCTCCCGGCCTCCCCTCTCACTCAGGCCGACAGGTGGGACCCGTGGACCCCACCTGTCATCCCCAACCTCCGGCCAGCTCCAACCGCCGCCCACGCCGCCCACTCCCTCCGCCGATCCCGCACCTCCCCTCGTCCCAACCGGCGTGGACCCGAGACCCCTTCCACCTCGCGACCACATCCCGCCCCACTCCCCCTCTCTCCCCGCGGGAATCAACGCCACGCCGAGCCGCCACACCCCCACGACGCCGCCCCACTTCCCCTCGAAATCCGCCGCTCCCCGGCCCTCTCCTCGCCCCCTTGAGCTATAAAATCAATCCCCGTGGACTCCTCTTCCTTTTTCCCCGTTTTCCCGAGTCCCCCACGCCCTCTACCGAGCTCTCCACGCCGATCCCCTTCGCCGCCGCTCGCCGGCGATGTCCAGCCGCCCGCCACCGCCGCTCCCGTCGCTGCCGCGCTGCGCCGCCACCACCTATAGCATCACACCACCCCACCGCACCCCGGCATCCACTCCATCTCCCTCCTCCACCGCCGGAACCACCTTCCCATCGCGAGGCCGAGCCACTACCGCCACACACCGCCTTCAGCCGGCCGCTGCCGCTGCGTTAGTCGTCGCCGCACCTCGCCGCTTGCGCCGTCGGCAACGCCGTGCCAAGCTCTACCCCGGCCTCCGCTCCGTTTCCCCATTCCACCACCGCAACCACCCTTCCACCGTGCATCCCGAGCCACCTCCACCATACGCCGCCTCCAGCCGTGTGCCACCGTCGCCTTAGCCGCCGCCGCGTCGCTCCGTCTTCACCTCTCGCCTCGCAGCGCCGTGCAGCACCTCGGTCACCGTTGTTCATCGCCGGAAACCCACCGGAACGTGGTACCTCTCGGTCGCCGGTGAGCCCCACCATTCCTCTCCTCTCTGGCGTGGTATTCTCGCCGCTCCGGTCGCCTATTTCCCTCCCTAACCGCTCCAATAATTTCCCTAGGTCTTGCCGGCCCTCGGCCGCGGCTCCGCCATGGTCGGGCGTCGTCGGACCGCCGTTCCCGTCGCCTCCCGTGTCGGCCGCCGCCATCCTTTCCGCCGCCGGTCGCCTCCCCATGGTCGTCCCGTCGCCGGCGCTCCTCGGTGAGGACCCCCTTCATCTCCTTTCCCTTTCCCCTCTTTTCGTCGCCTCCCGTGCGTGCCGTCGCGCCGGTGGTCGTCGCCGGCGACCATCGGGCCGTGCGCCGTCGCTCCCGGCCGGCCGACCGGTGAGCTGGCTCCCGCTCGCCCGTGGCCGCCCGATCCTCCTTCGGGGCGATCTGGGCCGTCCACGTGGCCTTCCCGTGCCGCCCGCGTCGGTGCCTCTGTGGCGCCACGTCGGCGCCACCTCCGCTAGCCGTCCGTCGTGGCCGCCACGTGTCTGCCACGTGGTGCGCCCGCGGACCAGCGCATGCGTGGACTCGGTCCACGGTGCGCCCGCCACCCGTGAGTCACCGTCAGGTGGGGCCCGCTTGCCGGCGCCACCTCTCCCCCGTCGGATGACGTCATAATTGATTTAAATTGCGCAATAAATCGGTAATAATTCTAGAAATTCATTAAAATGGCTCAAAACCTTCTAAAATTCATATCTAATTCATTCGAACTCCGAATTGAGCCATTCAACTTGCAAAATTCATCTAAAATTGAGCTCTACATGTTTGTTTACTTTTTATGTACTGTTTTCTTGGTGTTTATTAGAGTTTTTCCTCGTTTTGCGTGCCAGCGTGTAGTTTCCGTCGTTTCGGAAGTCCGCGGTCGCGAGGAAAAGAGTTCAGAAGATCAAAGTGAAGAAGCAAGGCAAGTCACACATTCTCCTTGAGCATGTTGATCCCAATTTATAAATGTTTTACCGTTTACAAATAAATATGCATGTTTTGCTAATTACATGGGATCAGGGTTTTCCTATCTGCTCGCTTGCGCCATGTTTACTTGATATCTGTTCTTTGTCAACCTTGGGTAATAAATTGACTAGCTTGTGTTACTTATGTGACCTAGCTAGAACTATATGCTTAGCCATGCTTAATTACCACTAGCTCAGTCGATGGGATAATTGCAGTATTAGACATTCTAGTATCTTGTTGAGCTGCGTGCTCGAGACATCTGGCCATGTTTTATGGTCGTAATTATCCAACTAAAATGCGACTGAATGGTGGGCTGTGGATGCATGGTTTTGCGAGTCGCACCCATAGCAATTAAGGACCGGTTCACGGGAAACCCTGGAAGACTTACAGCGCTTGCCACAAGCGGGAATGGGTAACTGCTTGATCTGAAGTATAGCTCGACCCTTTCCTAGGCACCGGTGGCGAGGGTGGGCGTGATGGAGTTGGGTCGGCCGGGGTGTCCGGTTGTCCAGCTGCCGGATTCACCGCGGCGCAAGAGGGGACCGCCCACTGCCTTTTGAGGGGTGGGGGTGAAACCTTAGCGTGGTGTGGATGGTTAGGGGAGGGTTATGCGAAGGGTCTCGTCACAATCACTCGACATGGTGACGTGTGCATCATGGGCACATGATGACGCGGTGACATGTCGGTGGGTTGTGTCTTGTGGGTACAGTTGTGCACCTCTGGCCAGAGTAAAACTATTCGAATAGCCGTGCCCGCGGTTATGGGCGATCGACCAGATTCACCGTGATTAGTCTCACACCTAATAAATCGACCCAATGCACTGTAGTAAAGGTGGGTTGGTTGGGCCTGTTCAACGTGGTGTAGCGTTGATCAGTGGAGATTTAATATTACTTTAATTACTCAACAGTTTTACTGTTTTGCTCAATAAAATGTTTTACAACTGCCTTTATGCAAATAGCCACAAACCGTCCTTGTGTTCCCCCTTGCACGTCTGCATCGTTGGTGTGGCTTGCTGAGTACGGTGGTTGTACTCAGCCTTGCTATTATTCCCCCTTTTCAGAAGTGTAGTGCTTCTGAGCTGAAGATGGAGTTAGAGGACCAAGGCTCAGACCCCAGTTGAGTTTTGCCTGTGGAGTGGAGCTGAAGCCCCGCTAGGATCGCCTTTTTCCGCTGCTGCTGCTTTTGTTTCGGTGTGAGGACTAAGTGCCTCTTCTGTAAGTATTTTACGCTTTATTTACGTTTGGAACTGTTTATTACTTGTCGTTTTGTGTACCCTGGCTGGTCCTGGACAGGGATTTAATACACAAAATAGTCTGGAAATTTGGGCTAAATTTCTGGGCGTGACAGTTCTTCTGGCCAACCGCCCTCAAAGATGCTTGCGACATGGTTTAGCGGTGTGAAGCTGTCAATTCCACAGTAAACACACAAGGCTACCAGCGCAAGCACTCCAGACCATCCCTCTCACTTGGCCGTTCTCGTACTGGGGGCTAGATATACTCGGCCCATTCCCACGAGGACAGGGCGGCTACAAGTTCCTATTCGTGGCGATTGATAAATTCACTAAGTGGATTGAAGCGACACCCACGGGGGAAATCAAGGCCGACAACGCCATCAAATTCATCAAAGGGATATTCTGTAGATTTGGATTGCCCCACCGTATCATAACGGACAACGGCTCCCAGTTCATCAGTGTCGATTTCCAGGACTACTGCATCAGGCTGGGAGTCAAGATCTGCTTCGCTCGGTTTCTCACCCTCAGAGCAATGGACAAGTCGAGAGGGCAAACGGCATAGTACTACAAGGAATCAAGACCCGCGTCTACGACAGGCTCATGTCACATGACAAGAAGTGGGTCGAAGAACTTCCATCAGTACTATGGGCCGTGCGTACCACACCGACAACGTCTAACAAGGAGACACCCTTCTTCCTCGTGTACGGCTCAGAGGCTATGCTCCCCACCAAGCTACGATACCAAAGTACACGAGCACATAAGTACTCCGATGAGAATCAGGAGGAGCAGCGAAATGACGATGTGAATCTACTCGAAGAACATCGCGAACGAGTTGTCGTTCGAGCAGCCAGCTACCAACAGGCCCTTCACCGCTACTACGAGAAACGCATCCGAGCACGCACACTTTCGATCGGCGACTACGTCCTCCGACGGGTTCAAAGTCAAGCAGGGCGAAACAAGCTCTCACCCAAATGGGAAGGACCGTACACGATCACACAAGTTCTGCAGCCAGGCGCATTCAAAATTGCAGACGGCGATGGTCGCGAGTTGGCAAATTCCTGGAACATTAATCAATTACGTAAATTCTATGTATAAATCAATAGTATCCATACTTGTAAGACATCTTACAGCTTCAATAAAGCCTATTTTCAGGTACAAACTACAATCAAAGTGTTCCTTCCCGATGATCCCTTACCCAGATGACACCTAGCGTTGAAACCTATCCTCATGTCCCTTTACGCCGTCTTGACAAGGCCTCCAAGGAACCTAAGGGAACTTCGGCTGGGGACGCCCAGAGCCGATAAGGCCTTGTCGGATCCTGTAGAGATGAAAGACCATGTAAGATCTAGTCGTGTAAGAGTTCTCGCCGTGCGTATTAACCAAGCCGTGTAATCGGAAATTAACTTTCCAACTTCACGGCTGGGGGCTAGGATCAGTGCTTGTTCAACCGAGGCAGGTCAAAGGTCTAAGAGCCTTATCTTCCGAGACGAATTCTCCGATGATAAGGCTGGGGGCTAGGGAGAGTGTATAACTCAAACGACTGATCGAAGTCACGAAGTGAGAAGACACTCATACACGCTACATCCAGAGTAAGAAAGCTTAGTTAGATAGATTTCTTTTCTATTTCACAAGTACTTCTTACAATTCCACAAAAATCCAAAATTATATTACACTTTTTCCTAAGACATTTGTCACAGGACACGGAGACTACCAGGAAGGCCAACGCCAGTCCATGGACTGGAAGACCTTCTCCGCCAGCGGTGCCATCGACCTCGCCAGGCCATCTATCTCCGTAGGAGTTCTTCGAGAACGAGAATACCCTTCGTAGAGGAACTCGAGGTGCAGCTGCGGGCGATGATGTCGTATGCAAGCCAACACATGCCCCCCGGCATATCGGCTCGATCGACGACACTCCTGCTTCAGGGCCTCGTCGATACGCTGGTCGATGCCTTCGAGCTGGGCACAGGCCCCATTCAGCCACGAGATGTATCCAGCCGCCGATTCCTCGGGATCCCCACGGGGTACTCGGAGCTCTCTACATACTCTTGACATGGAGGTGCAGCAACTCTTCAGATACGAGTTGAACCACACAGCGCGACCCCGGAGTGTCTCCACGGCCTGGTCCTTCTTCACTTCCAGCATAGTCCTCTCGAGTTTCGCGACCTCAAACTTCGTCCTCTAATACTGGATGCGACGATCCTGGTCAGCAAGCACACTCTCGAGGTCTGCTCAGTATGGAAACGACTAAGTCAAACTGCTCTTCTCTTCCGAGAATACAGCAGATCAAGTCGATCCAGACGGAAGAGTAAAGGAGATGAAAACAAAGACAACCAACCTAAGGGAGTCGTCGCCATACCCGTTTCCACAGGTGAATTTTGAGCTACGTCGCCATCCAGCACATGTGGCTCGAACGCAAGTATCGGAACGATCACTGGCAGCTCAGGCTGCCCGCGCTGCTGGACATCCTCGACATCAACATCTCTACATACGACAACAAAGTACTCAAGATCAAAATGCTGAAGAAAGCCAAGGTGATAACTGCACACACAAAGGCAGTTGGAACCAATGAGAGTTTTACAAAGCATGACTAAAGAGTACAAAAGAGCCAAAATCCTACTCTTCAAAAAGCGGGAGGACAGACTCCCCCAGATCGCCGACTTCTTTCATCACATCCTTGCGCGCGTCGCTAGCCGCCCCCTGATCCAAGATCTTCCGCAGATCGAGTTCAGGGTGCACCAGCCTCACACACGCAAGGACATGGCACGCCCCGGTATAGATCTCGTTGGGCGTCTCCTCTCTGATCATGGCCGCGTGCTTGGAGGGGATCGCCTCCATCGCCATCGCCAGCTCCGCAAGCGAAGTCGTCAGCGAGAACTCATCGGGATTCACCGGAATGATGGACTTGATACCACACTCCCCGGTGAGTTGGTGCAGACTAGTGTAGGTGACCCGCAACGAGCCACGTATTTCCGACAAGTTGTTCTCGAGCTCCGACATGCGGTGCTCGAGCCCCTGCCGTTGTCGCTCGTTGCCGGCCACCAGTTCCCTCATCTTCTGGAGGTCCTCGTGAACCTCCGCCAGATCACGCGCCAGCCGGTCGGTGCGCTCATTCGCCGACGATGCCGTCGTCGCCCTCGCCTCCACGATCTCGCGGCTAACACCGCGAGCACCAGCCTCGAGGAGGTGCCCCATCTCGACCTGGAGCTCCTCCCATGTGAGGACGGCAGTCGGCGGACCCCGACCAGCCGCGAGATCGCTGGCTGGGCCACTCGGCGTCACCTCGCGGCTCCTGGGTACGACCACGACATCTGTCGAGGCCATAGTAGGGGACGCGCTGGAAGTCCCTCCGGACCCATCTTGCGCCGCTTTCACCCGCGCCGCCCTGTGAAAGGCTACAATTGAGACATGCTGCAAGAGCTCGATGAAGTGATAAAACCTCAAAGTTCACCCACTTACTTCTCACCAAGCGTCACAAGCCGCTGCCGTCGTGGAGGTGGGGGGGACGCATCCGAGGCCTGGAGTATAACGGGCATGATATGAGGAGGAAGTTTCCCGACTACGCGATGAAGGACAAGGAGAACTTACCGAGAGGGTGGGTGTCTTTCGACGATGTCCGATCACAGAGGAGAATTTCCTCCCCTTTTTCGGAGCGTTGCCGCCACTCGTTGTGGCAGCAGCGGCAGCAGTGTCAGACGCCTCCTTGGCGATTTTCTCCTTCAGCGACGCCGCCACCTGATGGTCCACGAGCGGCCTGATGATATCAGTCAGAGGGAGAGCCTACGCTTCATAAAGTCACAATGCGATCCCGGAAGAAAAATGCAAAAGGGCCGCTGAGTACACTTACATTGATGGCAGCTTCACGTTCGGCTGCCCCTCTCTCGCAACGGGGGACGGGGACGTCGCTCGCCGTTGTCGGGCCGCTGACCATCAATTGGCCGACGCGGTGCTCCACGGTTGTGCTGTTCAAGCCTGTAGATCGAGACCAGAATCCGATAAGTCAGGAGGAACACGCACATAAGGGAGTCAATTTAACTACAAGAAAAATACCCCGAGGAGAAACCCGGGTCGCATCCTCTAGCCCAGAATAGTCAAAGGCTGGGTGGGCTCGAGCCTGGAGCGGCTGAATCCGCCTACCAATGAAGTCGGCAGCGACTTCATACCCCGACAACCCCCGTACTCGGAGGTCATCAATGGGATCGATAAAAATTGGAGGGACGGGGTCAAGGCGGGTTTGGCGGTCCAAGGTGAAATCTTGTCTGGTTGCTCCGTTGGAACAATGAAGACCGGATCCGAATCTTCTATCTGAAGATAGAACCACCTCCCCCGCCATTTGCTGTGAGATAAGGGGCACTGGAAGGGGATGTATCGCGACTTCAGGCCATCCCGAAACCGGAAACCGACACACCCGGACACCTTTTTAGGTTCCATCCAGCGCAACTCATAGTAAAAGCGGAAGAGGTCAAGAAACGGCTCTACCCCAATGTAGGCCTCACAAAGATGCGAAAAGATACTGAGGAAGGCGATGGAATTGGGGTTCAAATGGAGCAAGGAAAGGCCGTAGAAATTCAAGACCAAGAGAAGAAATTCAGAAGGCGGAGGAAGAAAATCACAAAGAATATAGTCCTCGATCTCAACCATGCGACCCAGGACATGTTGGGGTTCAGTACCTCCTGCTTCTCTCTCCATGGTCCCACGACCGGGAAGGGCGCCATCCTCCTGTAGCTTCTTCAGCGATGCGCTGGTGGAGGTAGACTTGTCAAGGTCCATTGCCGCCGGGGATCGCCGGAGAAAGGACCGAGATGAGCTAGCTAGGGTTTTTGCTGAAGCAGAGAAGACGAGGAACGCTTGGAGGCTGGAGAGTTTTTTCACAACCAGCGGACTTCAAATTGGATCCCCAAAACTCCCTTAAATAGTCGCATTTCCGACGGTGCAAATTCCAAGGAAAGGAGAGAGATTGCCGCCGGAAATTTCTGGGTCCGTTACGCGTGGCAGTTTTTCGGACTTCAATTTAAATTCACTCATGACCGTTGAGCTTCACTGGGCGTTGTCAATCACTTCTTATCCCTCGGTCCTCACACCGAGAACGACAACAACCTCGACATCAGAAGTCACGATCGATTACACGAGTTCATTTAAGCAGAAGTCGGGGGCTACTGTCAGGGTTACGGGTAAGGTATACCCTCTACCCTTCGATATACGTCATACATACGCGTATACGGACGTTTTCGGCATACGTTAAGGAAATTCATCATGGAGTTCACAGATGGAAGGAGTCCTACTCGGACAGAACTGGGTCATCATTTTATCGTGCCGAGTCCGATGTCTCCGAGTCCTACTTGGAGACCAGTTAACCTGCGATATAAAAGGGACCCCCGGGAGGACCTAAGGGATCAAATCTCATAGTCAGCACATCCACCACAGCCTACGGAGTTGAAGCCAAGTCGCCAGGTGATCTAGTCGAATCAACTCGACTACGATCTCATTGGTATCATCGAGTTCTGCTTCTCCTTCTGTAATCTGTGGTTTCCATTATATAATCCCATATCAACTGGTTTAGGGCTATTACCTATCAAGGGGCCTGAACCAGTATAATCTTTGTTTTCTGTCTGCTTGATGTCGTATTACGTAGATCCTCGTAACAGCATACCCCACTACCCTCTATATCCGGTCTACGGGTATCCCCCGTCGACAATATTGATTCTTATAATTAATTAATGTAAAACTATATATGTGGGTTTATAGAAACTAATGGTGAAAGATTAAAATGTTTGGCTTATAACATCTAGAATGACAAATTAACTCGAAATAGAGGGAGTATATAGTTTAGAAATATTAGCTACATGTTTTACAATTAGCCACACTAATTATTTTTTAAAGTACCATCGTCCGTATAATTATTTTTAAAGTACTATTGTAAAAAACAAAGCTATAATTTGTATAATCCAATCGACTCAACCTGATATTACCATAGCTCCAAAATAGTACTACTGTAAATTTTTAAGCATAATATTTCCTCCGTCCCAAAATATAATAACTTTTAACTCTCAAGATTTGTCCCAAAATATAACAACTTCTCCACCAACATTCTCTTCCCAACCAATTACAATCCTCCACCATTCATTTTTCCCACCTACCTCCTATACTCATCTAATCATAAGCATCCACCACTCACTTCTACCTATTTTCTTAATAATCGTGTCCAACTCTAAAACTTTTTATGTTCTGGGACTGAGGTAGTATATGTTTTCAAGGAAATAATAGCGATTAAGTTAGTGATGGAAACAACAATACACATACATACTGAGATGGGGCACCTCGGCGCAGCCGCACTGCTCGCCCTGCCCGGGCCCTGGGGCTGGCACTGATCGATCTGGCAGCGAAACAACTTGCACCCAACCGTGGGGAAGTAATGCGACATGTGAAGAGCAAGAGGGGAAGGGGGAGAGAAGAGTGAAACAGCTAACTGACTGCCACGCCGCTACCATGTGGACTGATCGTCACCAGATAGGAGGTGAAACTTTCTTGCATTCGGCTAAAGGGTTATTTTGTCATGTTTAAAAATATAAGGGGTGTAAAGTCATCTCATATCAATAATTTAGGGATGCACGTGGGCCGGGCTGGGTCAACCCACGGTCTAACCCATGTTACCCAGGGTAATGAATTACAGGCCATGGGTCACTCGCGACCCACGCTGAGTCCTGACTTGCTGACCCACGGTGCCACTATGGGTCAACCCATTAACGATTCTCCAGGCACAGAAGACTCTATCCATCAACACATCTAAATCATCAGCAAGCATGATGCATCAAATGAGCAGCTAGAAAACATGCATCATTAACGTACTTATTATTCAAACAAAATAAGTTAATAATTTGGTAGATTTTGACACTCTTTTAGAATTACAGCTATAAATATCACTCAATATTGAACAAAGATTGGGCGACGCGGTGGAGGGGTAGAGCGCTGGAGCGGACGGGCGGAGTGTGAGGCGGCAGCGGCGCAGCTGGTGCCTGGTACTGTGATGTGTAACCTAACAGAAGGGTCAGCCCATGATGACCCATGAAATTTCATGGATAAGCCCACGAGGTTTTGACCCCATGTATCGTGGGCTGGGTCGCTGGGTACATGGGTTAACCCGGCCCACGTGCATCCCTGTACATACCATAGTTGAGGAGGGTATATCTATCTTTTTACGATAGTTGATGGGGTAAATCGGATTGAACATTTTTAATCTACTTTTTTTTATCAATGACAACACATGATCCTCCCTTTGCTTTTTTATGACGTTCGTCATTTTTAGATGGATGTAGTATTTTCTACAACTACTTGTATAAGTAATGTAATTGTTTTATCAATTAAGTTGTAATACATACCTTTTTTTAGAGAGGTCAGAGACCCAGCTTATATTGAAAGCCCAAACGGGGGGAGCGCTGGGTAAAAACTCACTCACAAAGTTTATAGCACAGAGTGGGCACTGTCTCAGACATTCAGAGGGTGTTTAGATCAGGAGTGTAAAGTTTTGGCGTGTCACATCGAATATTATATAGGGTGTCGTATGGGGTGTTCGGACACTGATAAAAAAACTAATTACAGAATCCGTAAGTAAACCGTGAGATGAATTTATTAAGCCTAATTAATCCATCATTAGCAAATATTTACTGTAGCCACATTATCAAATCATGGAGCAATTAGGATTAAAAGATTTGTCTCATAAATTAGTCGTAATTTGGTAATTAGTTATTTTTTAGCCTATATTTAATACTTCATACAGTGTTCAAACGTTCGATATGACAGGATGAAAAATTTGAGGGGATCCAAACAGGGGCTGAGAATAAAACTCAGGTTTCTAAGTACCAGCTCTGAAACAAAGAACAGAAGCAGGAACTCAGTCTGAGTCTCTGAGATAGAGATAGGCAGATAGCTAATACTTGTACATAATAGGAGCAACAATTAACGAGAGAACGGGTGGGCAGCTTCCCAATCCCATCTCAATAAGCCCGTGAACCAACAACGGCGGGCAATCTGTTTGACATATGTAGGTCGGCCAGTTTGTTTGTACCTGTCACATGCAGCGTAACTACAGGGCCACTGCATCTTCAAACGGCACAACACAACAAACTTCGCCGGAGTACATACATAATCGATTCGGCTGTCGCCACCACATCCATATGCAAGGCTAGAACAACATTGCTCCCTAAAGGAAGCGGCAGTGGGGAAGTATTTTTATGAGTTCATCTCGTGTTGTTTCTTACGTACCATTTAAATAGTTACTCTCTCTGTCTATAAATATAAGGAGTTTTAGTTGATTATGGCGCATTTTAATATTTCAAATCTAGACAGTAAATATGTCCAGATTTATAGTACTAGAATACGTCTCATCCACTCAAAATTCCTTATATTTTGGGACAGATGGAGTATAAAGAATAAATAAGATATATTGTACTAGAATTAATAACATAAAATACATCACTCTATAATAGTTTATCTATACAGATCTATTCTATTAGAAATACATCACTCTATCTATTCTATTAGAATGCGTCATATCTATATGAAATCCCTTATACTATGGGATAGAGAGAGTATTTACTTAATACAGAAATCGTGATTGTTATTAAGCGAGAAGGTAGAAACATCGACAGTAGCACTTGGCAGTGGGTGACACGAGCAGGTGGTGAGTGGCGCCAAATGAAGCCAGCGCATGCAGCTGTACTAGTGAAGTGATCGATCCACCGCCATCTTTTATTTTCTTTTTCTCTAGCTTGTTGTACTTGGTACTCCACACCACTAGCTAGTAATGTGGCCGCTCTCTCCTCACCGACGGCATCTCCAGCAGCACGGGCATTCCGGCGCCATGGGTCGGCGGCTGTTGCTGCTCTTCCTAATGCTGGCACAGGCACCCAATTCCAATGGGGATTCCAAGATAAAGAACGTGGTGGTGTTGGCGCTGGAGAACCGGTCGTTCGACCACATGCTGGGGTGGATGCAGCGGCTGCTGGGCCTCCCCATCGACGGCCTCACCGGCGCAGAGTGCAACCCGGCTCCAGGACCAGGTCCAGCCGACTCCCTCCTCCACTGCGTCTCCCCCGACGCCGACCTCGTCGTCCCCGACGACCCCGCCCACGCCTTCGAGGACGTCCTCGAGCAGCTGCTGGGGTTCCGACCCAATGACTCTACTGGCGCCGCCGCCTCCCCCTCAGACATGTCGGGCTTCGTCCGCAGCGCCGTCTCCGTGAGCGCGCTCCTGACCGACGCCGTCATGCGGGGGTTCACCCCGTCGCGGCTCCCGGCCTTCTCCGCGCTGGCCTCCTCCTTCGCGGTGTTCGACCGCTGGTTCTCCTCCATCCCGGGGCCCACGCAGCCCAACCGGCTGTTCCTCTACTCCGCCACCTCCCACGGCGCCGTCGCCCACGACAAGTGGAACCTCCTCCGCGGCTACCCGCAGCGCACCATCTTTGACTCCCTCGCCGCCGACGCCCTCGACTACCGGGTCTACTTCAAGACCATCCCCACCACCCTCTTCTACCGCCGCCTCCGCACCGTCGCCAACGCCGCCCGCGGCACCTTCCGCCGCTACGACGCCGCCTTCCGCGACCACGCCCGCAGGGGCCTCCTCCCGGCGCTCTCCGTCATCGAGCCACGCTACTTCGACCTCACCGGCACGCCCGCCGACGACGACCACCCGGCGCACGACGTCGCCAACGGCCAGAGGCTGGTCAAGGACGTCTACGAGGCGCTGCGGGCGGGCCCGCAGTGGAACCACACACTGCTCATCATCACCTACGACGAGCACGGCGGCTTCTACGACCACGTCCCGCCGCCCAATGTCGGCGTCCCCAGCCCCGACGCCATCCGTGGCCCGCTGCCCTTCTTCTTCAGGTTCGACCGCCTCGGCGTCAGGGTGCCCACCATCATGGTGTCGCCGTGGATCAGGAAAGGGACGGTGGTGGGGAGGCCGCCGGGAGGGCCAACGCCCACGTCCGAGTACGAGCACTCCTCCATCCCGGCCACCATCAAGAAGATATTCAACCTCAGCTCCGACTTCCTCACCAGGAGGGATGCGTGGGCGGGCACCTTCGAGCACCTCTTCACGGACCTGGACGAGCCAAGGACGGATTGCCCGGAGACATTGCCGGAGATCCCGCCGCCATCTTCCTCGTCGTCGTCGACCAAGAAAGAAGACGGAGGATGGCTGTCGGACTTCCAGCGCGAGCTGGTGCAGCTGGCGGCCTTCCTCAACGGCGACTACATGCTGTCAAGCTTCGCACAGGAGTACGAGTCGAGAATGACGATGACGGTGAAGCAGGCGGATGCGTATGTGAGGCGAGCCGTCAAAAGTTTCCTGGAGGCCAGCAAGCGGGCCAAACGCTTAGGTGCAAACGACTCCGCCATTGTAACCATGAGACCATCCCTCACTACTGCAACCACCTGCTGCCCTTAGTTACCTACTGTAGTACACTAAACTAGTCTCTTTATTAATTTAATTAATTACCTACCTTAGCTAATCCAATCCCCTACCCATATACTTACTACTGGAGTACTCCATTAGTTTAATTACTGTATATCGATGATCATATATATATCACACAGATTTTCAGCCCAGAGAGGGACCGAGGGATGGGTGGCCTTTGCTCATGTTTCTTTTTTATGAAAGATTACTTAATGAATACTACACATCCCTTATATTTTATGTCTGGGCCTGCTATCTGGTGCCTTGGAGGATACGAAGCTGTCCTTGAGATTGTTGTCCCTATACCATACGTACCTAAGTTGCAATTGGATATGCCGTCCAGCGCCGGCCTCAACAATTTCTTACTCCACGATTTAGTACTAGCAGGCGTACTTGTCAGGGCAGGCCGGCCATTTGATTCATGCATCTATCGATCGTCCAGGTCCAGCAATAAGCATATACTTGTAGATGATTTGTTCTTCTTGCACCTGTACTTGTAGCAGCCAGCACAGCATATATACCAGAGTGAAGTGAAGTGAAAGTGCAGTGCACACTGCTCAGCAACAGCTAGTAGCCTACAAGGAATTAGTAAGCCTGAGAAGAAGAAGAAGATGGGGTCTGGTGATTGGGGTCCAGTGCTGATCGCGTTGGTCTTGTTCGTGCTGCTGACGCCGGGGTTGCTGTGCCAGATCCCCGGGAGCAACGGCCGCGTCGCCGAGTTCCACAGCATGCGCACCAGCGTCGCCTCCATCTTCGTCCACGCCCTCCTCTTCTTCGCCTTCTGCGCCATCTTCATGGTCGCCGTCGGCCTCCACCTCTACGCCGGCTAGCCTAGCCCTCCCTTCTTTCTCTTTCATTCATTCATACATATTCACTCCTCTATATATTACGCTTTGCATGTTTGCTGCTACTACTACTTACTAGTTATATTGTACTTCTACAAAAAGAAACAAAAAAAAACAGCGGAATTCCCTCAAAACTGTGTATATAGATAGTATCATTCTACTATTTCACTGGACTGGTGGTAATAATAAATATTTAATATATCTAGTACGCCACGCACATGGTCCTTCCATTTTCTGTCAAACAAAGGATGCACATGACATGCTGTTCCTCCAAAAACAGACCACCCACCCTCTACAACACATTAACCAAGTAGGAGTATTGCACTGCACTACACAAAAATTAACCAGGTAAGCTGGATAGATCAGACAGGACACATCCTCCCCTGTTTATCTTCTCCTGCTAGGTGAATCAGGTGATGGAGACGACGCCATCCTCTCTTCAACATATTGTGCAAATTTCACCCTTGGTCCCTGAGTCAGTCACAGTCAAACAAATGAATTCCCACTGCTACTACTTTTAGTTAAAGCGAATATTGCTGATTATCGGTAGAGCAGGTAGCTACAGTACTCACAGGGATCCTGCAATGTGAGTTCAGCTCCATCAACATCTGCCTACGACGCTCTCTGGCCACCACCTCCACCTGTGACGCCCGCTGGCAGGCTGTTTGCTTTGTCTCCTGCTGCAACTCAACCAAAGTGTTTTTTTGTCAATTTCAGGATTCTCTCAATTTCATATTTCAATCAACATACTTCAAGCAGTGAAAGTGTCCATCAGTAATATGCAGGAAGAACTGACAGAGCCAGAGACAACCTAATTACGATAGCATAAATTTTGGTCCTGGTGAGAAATGATAAATTATGGCATCAAACGCGTTCTGCCATTCATGTCTACTGAACATATGCATGTATTCTGATACATATACGTTCACTGCACAAAGCAATCCCTACCAACTTCTTCTACTTATATATTTGGACAAGATAGTAATACAAGGCATCATCGATCTAAACAAGAAATTCCACGTATGTACGAGAAGATATCCCCATTTTGTTTGTGTTCTCTCAAAAAGGATTGCTAAAAGTTTATCACATTCTACCACCCCATGTATTGATATGTACAGAGCCTGATCTTGACTCTCAAGTGCTTAAATTTGATGAAGTTGCACGATTAATGTAAAAGACAAGCAGGAAAATAAGATGATAGCATTTCATTCCCTTGGAAAAGGGTACTATAAAATTTGATCATTGTAAGGACAAGAAAATAAAAGTGAAGTGCCAGTGATCACACTTACTTGGCCAGCAGATTTCTCCATGAGATTCCTAAGACTTGACACCTCCTTTAGTAAGTTATCTATTATATCATCTGCCTCTTGCATCTGCTTCCTAGAGAACTCAAAAGCTCGGTCAGCACGTAAACGGAATGTGCTGCAGTCCAAGCACATGCAGATTCCCTTGCACCCCCTTGTATGTCTCTTAAGTATTCCTTTCTTTGGAGATAGTTTCTTAGGGGAAAGGCCTCGTTTTTCCAAACAAGGGGAACCTCTTTGCCGTACTGGGCTGACTTTGCTTGACATTGGCTCAATGTGCACAACAGAAACGGAACTGGAGGTTTCTTCCACTGTTAAGGGTGTGCCAGTGGAACAATGATCAGACGTGCACAGAACACCAGCAGGCGTTTCCTTCACTGAGTAGGGCACACCAGTAGCACAAGGGTCCAAAGGAATGCATGTCATCTCCACATCAAGCAACGGTTCATCTAGAGAAGCCATAGAATCACATTGCTCTAGTGCATTGTGGGAATTCACTGATGGTATTACAACCTTGGTAGGACCACCAAAACAAACATCAGAAGTTCCCAACTCTGGGCTTTGGCATTGATGTACCTCATCACCTTCAGCATTATCTTTTACTGACAACTCTGTAGCATGCAGTAGAGGCTGCTCTTTGGCAAGAGATCCACCCTTGCAGGAGTCTAGAGGGTCGTCATCACCATCTGAAGTCACTGCTTGTTTTTGTGTGGCCTTCTGCATTTCAGCTGTGCCTTCTGGAGGAGAAGCTTTTGAAACAAAAGTCTGAAGCTGTCTGCCATCAAGAACAGAATTTCCGTCTGGAACTGATTTCCTCTCTTCTAATACTGCTTCAACTCCTGCTTTGTTGCTTTCTTCAGAGAAGTCTTCTGAGGCAGCAGGCTGATGCTGTCCAGCAGGCAGGACATCATTCCATTTCAATGTGCACTCACCCTTGTCTGAAGATAGAAGGTGTGCATCTGAAGCTAGCACTCTTTCCTGTGTGAGATTTTGCCCTTCAACTGTACTGACTTGTAGTTCTAGATGAGCGGCTTCAGAAACAGCAGGCTGAAGCAGCCTTCCACCAAGAGGATGAATCCTGTCTGATTTTGATTCGTTTTCTTCTACTAATCTTTCGACTTGAGCTGTTTTGCATTCCTCAGCAGAGTCTCCTGACATAACAAAGTGATGCTGTCCAGTGGTCAAGATAAGATTCTCATCCGTTGAAGATTGCTTTTCTTGTACGAGTCTTGGAATTTTGGTCCTGTGACCTTCCTGAGAAGTGATCTCTGAGAAAGTAGACAGTAGCACATGATGAGATAAATTGGCGATGTGATACCCTGAACTAAGTAGACAGTTGCGTCATGTGAGAATGCATCTGATCGTACCGTTCTCCGTAACAAATGGCAGCATCCTCTTGTAGCTAAATGAGCTGGGGTGGTGAACAAACCTGGACCTCTGACACCGGGAAAGGCACTGAAACATACATGCATACATTTTTAATACAAGGTTATTTTGAAGAGAAGAGGAGATGGGAATAGATCTGGCTGAATATAGCATAACAAGGGAGACCAAAAGGAGACATCAAAGACAGTACTCACCATCTTGGTGCTTGAAAGATGAGAAGAGGAAATGTTGATTTCTTCCTTGGTGGTGCTGATAGAGCAATGCACAGGATCAGGTTGAGCTTCAGATTCAGATTCGGCATATGCATCAATCTTGGAGTTGTCCTTGCCACTAGGGCATTCTGATTCTGAACCACACGAACGCAAGGGAAGGGAAGGGAATGGGGTAAGAAGAAACAAGGGCCATTTAATTTAGTTGGGAGGAGGAGAATGGTGTTTGTTGTAGTACTACCTTGGTTGGTGTTGGTCAGTTGGTTGAGGAAAGGCAGTAAGCGGCGGTAGCCGAAGGAGGCCGGGGCGTGCACGAGCTTCGACCGCTGGACGACCTAATCCGCCCCGCCCGGATAAAACACATATGAGATGAGATGAGATGAGATGGCCACCAACACCAAGCTAAGCTAGAACGAATTTTATTGTGCGTCTGAGATGAAGATGAAGATGAAGGGAGTCGGGAAGACTTACCGGCTTTCGCTCCCGGCCGTCTTGGGCCTCCGGCGGCGTCGTCTCTGCAGATCCAGATTTGGCAGCAGGGCCGGCCGGGTCGGGGGAGGAGTCGTCAAGGGGCGCGGAGGTGAGCGGGACGACACGGCGGAGACGGAGGTCCTTCACGGCGGCGCCGCCATCTAGGAGGAGATGGCGGAGTAGCTCAGCGTGGCGGCGAGAGGTCAGGTGCTGTGTGGGCATGGCCTCTCTCTCTCTCTCTCTCTCTCTCAGAGTTTGCAGTCTGAATGGATTCGCGGGCGGGAGGGAGGGAGAAGAAGCGGCGCGGGCGGGGGGATTTTGGCGCCAAATCTGGTTCGCTTGGCGCCAAAACAAGCAAGGGTCGCGCCCAAAAGCCGCCCACGAGCTGACTGAGGCTTTTATATGGGCCGTTCCATCACAAAGCCTAGTCCAGCCCAGACCAGCTATGACATTTGGCTTTCCGTTTTTGCTACAGATAAAAGAAAATGTATTAATGTGTTACCCATTCTTTTGCTATAGGAAATATTCATATTATTCTAATTTTTTATGTGACTATCCATTTAGATTTAATCTCCTTTAATATTATAAGAAGTTTAGGGGTTAACTTGCAAAATTTACAATGCGAGTGGGGGCGGTGACAGATTCACCAAAACCACCACTCCCTTCTTTTTAAGAAGTATAAAAACACTGACCAAATTTCGTGATGCCATCTATACCTTCTATATATCCAAGCTTGTAACAACACCTATAATTTATTAAATTCAACAAATCAACATGCAAATATATCTAATCATCACACCTCACATTATTTCCACAATATTTCAACATATCTATTCATTGTTTGTATAATACTCAATATATATTCATCCATATATTCCGTCTGCTTTTCCATCACAAAAGCAGGGTATCATTTAGTTTATATAAAAATGATACCAGATTTGTGAAAAAGTTTAATCAGTGACCACTTGTAAAATGTTCACTCATTTTTTTAAGAAAATACCAACTGTGAAAACCACATTCTCACCGGTTACCACCAGCCACAAGTGTCAGAATGGATTCTAGTATAGACTAGCAGATGTAGACTGGTGCACATTATTTACTCAACTCCAACTATTGAGTGGACCACCCCTTGATTCATTCACAACTACTAGAGGCAGGCAGTCTCCCAGTCCCTCCCAGCCTTTCATTGCTAAGTGAAAATGACATCAACTATCTTTTGTTATTACTACGATTTTGTCACCAATTCATCGTTCAGTCTAGTCCAATCCCTGATACTCAAGGCACAACACACAAATAGTAGATGGTCAAAATTGAAGATACACCTTAGCTTTGCTTATTTTGACAAGTTGCTCATATGATATCATATCCCATATTTACACTAGAGCACACAAGGAAACGCAGAGCCTCCTACGCAAATATACACATCATACTTGGTCACTTCATCGTTCATTCATAGCTTGGGTTGGGTATACAGTATACTGACACAAATACCCCCATACGGGCTTCTAACTATGCCACCACTAGAATGGCCACTAATATCTATAGTAGAGGAGTGCTTAGCATTCCTTGTGCATAGGGTTGCCGCATCATCTTTTGTAGGAGTAAATACAAAATGCACAGCTTAATACCAGCACAGCACACCCTTCTAACCTTGCACTTGTTAACAGCTTATGATAATTTAGCTGATGCAAAAGATATACCACTAGGGTTACACTTTGGAAGCATTACGATCACAGTTACTCAGAGGATGATGTTTCGGTTCTTCTTCGCATCCGAGCTCCCCAGGAGAGGTTCTCCTCTGAATCCTTCGTCATGCTCCTCCTCTTCAGCTCCTCAATTTGGTCTCCCCAAGTTCTCCTCCAGCCAGACTTGTCTTCCTGATCCTATGGTTTTGAGTCACACGGGTGGCAAGTTAGCATGGAAAAAACAGCATATGAAACAATGGTTTGACAATCCAAATGGAAATTACCAACTTGCGGATCAACATCATGAACCGAGTGAAAGTAGAAATCAGCTAACAGAATAGCCAAACAAGCAAAGCTTCTCCCAGTTTCAACCTTACACGGAAGACACGACCTCTCTAACTTATGTCCTGGATAAGTTTAACTATGAGGCACACGAAAAAGACTTCTTTTTTTCAATTTTGTTTGTAAGTATAATTGTTCATTCACTATTCATCACCTACATGCATATAATTTGCATCAGGGTGAATTTTGCATCCCTATATGCATCACGCAAGAGATAATGCCTATGTATGTAGTATTTCCTTATTTGTATGTATGGCACTGCTAGTGCCTGAACAAAAGGTAAATCTCTACTCGCATCCTACATAGAGTTATGATGAATTGATCCAGCGAACTTGAGCAATAATATATATATATATATATATATGAAGCCAAAATCTGTACAAATACACAAGCACATGCAGGCGCAATATTGAGTTATGTGCTGCAGACGACGGTGATACAAGAAAGATAGAAGGAATTGCAATCAAGTATTGAATTGAATGGGGGAGAAGATGGAGCAGACATATTAAGTCAGGCTGCTGGATCAAACATCATGTAAGGCTGGGGCTTGTGTGTTAGAAACTGAATGGGCTTGTGTTGAAGGTTGGGGACAAATTCAAATCAAAATCACTAGAGAGGAGAGGAGAGGAGACGAAACGTACCTGGTAGTAGTAGGGGGCGACGCGGCGGGAGGAGGAGAAGGCAAGCCGGCAGACGCCGCGCGCGAGGGCGCGGTCGTAGGTGGCCCGGCGGCTGGGGTCGGAGAGCGTCTCGTAGGCCTCCTGCACCTCGATGAAGCGGCGGGTGTTCTCGGCGGCGGCGTCGGGCGGCGAGACGTCCGGATGGTACTTGCGCGCCATCCGCCTGTAGGCCGCGCGGACCTCGTCGAGGGTGCCCTCCGAGGAGATCCCGAGTAGGTCGTACAACGTGGGCTGCTCCGCCGTGCGCAGGGTGCCCAAGTCCGGGCGAAGGCCACGCGCTGTCTGCAGCGGCGGGCGGGGGACGCGGCCAGGGCGCAGGAAGGCAACGCGGGCGGAGGCAGGGGCGGCGGCGGCGGCGGAGGTGGGGGAGGCGGCGAGATGGGGCATGGCTCTTCTCTTCTCTCTATGCTTTCACTTTCGCTTCGCTTCCACCGGTGCCCGTGCTTTGCTTCTTCCTCTCTCTCTCTCTCTCTCTCCTTTTTTTTGGGTTCTTGTTGGGTTTGTTCTTCTTTTGCAACAGCTCTGCCAATGGCGCACCCATTGCTGGCTGCAAAAAAATACGAAAAGAAAATAAATAAATAGACTATACCCTGAATAAAAACAAACTGTTACTGCTGCTGCTGTAAACTTCATCAATTTGGATCGATAGCTCACATGTGAGATTGAGATAATACTCCCTCCGTTTCAAAATATTTGACACCGTTGACTTTTTAATGCGTGTTTGACCATTCGTCTTATTTAAAAAATTTAAATAATTATTTATCCTCTTCATATCATTTGATTCATTGTTAAATATACTTTCATGTACACATATAGTTTTACATATTTCACAATTTTTTTAATAAGATGAGCGGTCAAACATGTGCTAAAAAGTCAACGGTGTCAAACATTTTGAAACGGAGGGAGTATGGAGTAGGGAGGATGTCGACAAGCTGCTCTCTTCTCACAATGACTAGTTCTTTACCATGCGGTGCTTCGCAGATTGATACGAACTATCTATTGCCACAAAACCTGATCAATTATTTCATGATTATCCTTGTGGCTATCTCAGACAACTAAGGGAAACAATAACAAGAAGATATCACTTCTAACTTGACAATTCCACCCCCTAATCTCGACACTCTGACGAGAGAAATATCAAGAAGCAACACGCATATTGTGCCATGAAATGCAGGTTTCACCCTAACCCTAGAAACAGGTGTTGATGAAGGCACCCTTGGGCTAGTATGGATACCATCAAGGGCAGTAGTGGTGGTGGCCAAGGCACATATACCCGTGCAAAGGAGAAGATTGATAGTATGCATACACCACAAGACTTTGTAGTGTTAAGTGAATATATTAAGTTAGTCTTAGTCTAGTTTAAAACCATTGGAGGAATGAGAATAGGGGTCCCCGTCCTCCGGAGTCGTCAGGGCACCCAAAGATATATGTTATAACATGAGATGTACAAGATCTACATATTCAAGAAGTACAAGATCAACATCTTCAAGAGGTGTATAAGATCTACACATCCAAGATCTCAAGAAGAACGTCAAGATCTACATTTTCAATGTGCTGAGGCGGCAGACAACTGCTTCGAGCCACTCTGACGTAGGTGATCACTATAAACTCATTCATCAACGACATCTTCAAGAAACTCATCCAAAGTACAATGGAAACCTATGAAGAAACATGGAGAGAGGTCACCGAGGGCCCAAGGAAACTAAGTTCCCTGGGCATGGAAATAAGTTCCGGATAGACGACTGCCCCGAGGAGCGAGGGTTACCCTGGGGTGCAGTATAGGGTTTAGGGGCTCCAAGCTGGGCTCCAAGCACACCCCACTGCCCTAAGCTCACTTTGGGGTTTTCTCCGCCTCTCTAGATGGACCTAGGGGCTTAACTCCAATCCAACATCATGATTTCTGTTGTAGGAGGGAGCCGTTTGGAGAACAGCTCATCCACCTACATCTCAGTGACGTAACGCTGCATGCAGCCTCCCGCATGCCCACGTCTGCTAGAGGAATAGAAGGGGCATGACGTGTCGTGCCCACATCACTCTAGCACATTCAACCTTGCCACCTCGCAAGGGCCGACTGGTGGGCCCCATGGTGAATGGGTAGAGATCACCTGGCTCCTACGCTAAGTGTCAACTGGAGAGCAAAGTTGTAACATCCAACCAGCTTGTCGTAGGGGACATCAACAAGTCCAAGCATACCCAACTCTTTGGCACGGAAACCGCTTCTATATTTTTGTTGGCGCTATGGACTTTCCTTAGTCTATAAAAGGAGGATCCATGTTAACGGATAAATGGTTTGACTCCTTGGAGATTAGAGCTCACACAAGATCCATATCTCATTGTAATCTTGTTTTGATCACGTATGGTCCATATACACACAGGCGTAAGATGTTACGCATCCGCACAACCCGAATTTGTATATGCTCGAACCTGTATATTTTTTTTGTGCCCATTTGATTCCTGAGGGTGACTCAGGCTTGACTCGCCCCTTGACCGAATCTTTCATGGCGGGTTCACGCTTCCCCATTGTAGGAGTCATGTACTCCGACAATAACTTTTCCTAATGTGTTATTTACTCTTTTGTAGTGTCGTGGATCTTTTGTAGTGTTGTGGATTGTGTAGTACATTTCTACAACACCATATTGTATTAGTATTACTTTTTACTTTTTCCCAGGAGGTCATCCAAATACCGTTAAGATTGAGGAAAAAAAAGCGCACCCAAAACACGCGCTAAAAACACAAACGTATGACCTTGAGGAGGAAGCCCAGCACTAAATTAAATTGGTCGCCGCTATGTGTGGCCGATCGCTGGCGAGCCTCCAAAACCACATAGCATGGTCGCCGCTATGTGTGGCCGATCGCTGGCGAGCCTCCAAAACCACATAGCGAACTCTTCGTAAACAACATTTCCATAAAGGTTACGACACTAAGGACACCGCCATCTCCCGCCCAAGAGATTTTCACCAAGAGAGGGAAGAGAGCTACCTCAATAGTATTATTATATTTTCGTTATTCATGTCATGGCTGATTTAAGACCAAGCTACACAAGCCATGATGATATGCAAAAGAAACTCAATGTTCCTTCTCTAAATAGTTGAGTACTCTAGTTAGTACTTCTATGGCATGGCATGGAATAGATGAAACATCATCATCAATCAAATATAAAAGGACCCAATAAGGTGTCGACATGCAAAGTCATCGATATTTAGTATATGTTGCTGCTTTGTTCTCTCCACTCATCATATCAATTTATATTTTAAGGTGTAGATCTGATATTAACTTACTATTAATATATAGATCATAGTTACAATCAGTACGGGTTAGGTCAGGATTTGTAGGTAGCCTCCCCTTGAACGAGTATGCCTTTGCAGCAAGTTTCCTCATCATAAAACCTTTTAGCAAGAATGAAGAGCCGCCTCTGCTGTAGTGATGTGGCTCTGCATGAATGCAAGCAGAGTCAGCTGGAGACAGTATTATTATACTCCATCCGTCTCTAATATAAGAGATTTTAACATTTTACTTACAATTTTACTTATATTGTTTGATCATTTGTCTTATTAAAAAAATATTATTATTATTTTGATTTACTTTAATATCCAAAGTATTTTAAGCACAACTTTCGTTTTTTATATTTGTACAAATTTTTTTAATAAGACGAGTGGTCAAACAGTGCAAATAAAATGTCAAAATACTTTATATTAGGGAATGGAGGGAAGGGAGTACTTATTACCCACGCTGTTCTGAATGGAGCCAAAAACTGATATAACAACGAACGAACGAACGGATCTCGACGTATTAAAACAAGAGCAGAGTAAAAATAAAATTATTAAAACAAGTGATTGTTATCGCTGTCTCCGACGCCTTTGCGCCTTGCTAATTTATACCAGCAAAATGGCTAATTTATACCAGCAAAATGGCAACATGAAATGATCCCGCGACAGCAAGCTACTATTGCTAATGAAACCGAACACCGGATACTTTGTTCTCCTCATTCCTGCGTTGGTTTTCGCCTTTTTTGGCAGTCACGGATTTCTGTTAAGATCCAACAGCAGCACGTATGCATCGCACACAACTGAACTGTTGGATTGCTTACAAATATAATCATGCACGCACACTCTTTTGCCGTTCGCGGCCAAATTCTAGTACACTGACCTACAGTCATCAAAAAGACAAAATGGCAGTTCAGGAAAACTAGATCCAATAATTAATGTTTTTTACTAACCTATGATCAACCAGCTACAACTCCAAGCATCTCCTCCAAGTCCCAAGGCAGGTCCTTTTGCAATGGTTTCAGTTAAATCCAAACATACACTCCAAACAAAAAGCTTAACATCAACTCTTATTCTACTACTGAATCTGCCGATTCAGCGGCACCCTGGTACCGATCCAGCAGCCTCCAACACGACATCTCCATCGAGTGACCGACCAATACCCAACAGCCCTCCTAAATCAAGACAACCAAACACAGAAAAAAAAGAAAGAAAAAAACACAAGCACAAAAAGGAAAAGAAATGCTGACATACCGCCAACACGCATATACACCAGTTTGTGCTGTAAAAACTAATATCAAGATTCTAACAATAACCCAATACAGTGGACGAGTGTATTACATCCACAGAAGCACAACCCCAAATCAAGATCAAAACCGAACAGAGGCAATAATCTGTGGGTGTTTAAATCTTATCAAGAGCACATCATAAACCCTTACCTCTTCTACAGGCAGGCAGCTCTTAGACTTAACTGAAAAACCTCCCCTCAGATATACTCCAACAGCGACCGCCTATGAAAAACCTGCACAGGTTTTCCAATGACACCACCAATCACAGCAAGTAAAGCACCAATATCTCTTTGCAGAGGCAGTGCTTAGTAACTAAACCAACACAAATTCAAAGTCACAAAAGAAAGACACAAGGAATGCTACTTTTCAAAGATATGCTTCTTATCTCTGGAACTATCAAGGGTAAAAGGTTGCTCGGACTTTATCAACAATTTCCTCACCAGTCACTTACATTGGCCTCTCGGATGGACCCTGTTTCTCAGAAAAAAAAAAGGAAAAAAGGAACAAAAAGAAAACAGAAGGGAAAGAAAAACAATGAATACCAGGATATATACTCAATTACACACACATATACTATCTTTGTTTAGAAATACACATTAATTTTAGATGGACTGATCAGAATTAAGCAGCAGGGAAGATAGTAAACAAGAACCACAGGGCAAGTCTCTGCATTAATCAAAATACAAAGTAAAATGGACTGGTTACGTGTTCTAAGATTTAAATACGTATTAAGCTATAGATCTTTTCAACCATTACTGATGCAGACATAATGCAAATCATACGCATAACAAATACAGGGAGCATGTCAACTTAATCAAAGGATGTTTACATGTAGAAACATCTTTGGATCATTGCACTAGCCAAAGCATGCCAATTGAAATGTATCACAGCCTACAAGAGAAGTGGTTTATATAGCCTTGTATAATGGACTTTACTTGAGTACGGAAAAGTGTGACCTCCCTTGTATCTTCAATTGACACCCCAGAATGAGCTCCAACTCTTCATGGAACCACAAGCCTGCAACGACAAATATATGGTTGGTTTGACCTCACAGTACTAAATCACCTCACAAGCTCCAGCGTTACATCTAGAAGTTTACTCCACAGAAAAAATCTCCATCTGAAGAGTTAATGAGTACATTTTTATAGATCAGATGAACACTTCGATCAGCACTCAAGTTCTCCATGTTCTTCATATCCTGCAAATAAAACTCCTAAATCAGAAAGGAAGATAACAAACACCAATTCATCTATCTGCATCCACTGATCAAGTAGATCCTGTGATCAGCCAACTCAATGATATAGCAACCATCAAGTAAACACTCTGGTTAATATCATATAGCAGACTCTTCAGTGCCCACAAATGCACCATCAACTCCAGGTTCATGTAGCCCATTAAGGCCAGCAACAATAGGTTTATCTTGTTTGTCTTGTGCAAGAAATGGGTCCTCAAGGCGTGGTGCAGAGGACATATCAGTTTCATGAACGACCTGCTTGGCTTCCTGGATACCCTGATCAGCTTCTGAGAAATCATTTGGCACCTTAACTCCAGTATCATGGTTGATGCCATGAACATCTGAACTAGCTGCTAACTGGTTATGCTTCCTACGAGGAGAGTCCTCGCTCTGAACTTTCCTTCTATCTGAAGACAAGGTATCATCAAGGAGACAATCATCCTTCCTAGACTTGGAACCCTCTTCTGATTTCTTTGATTTATGCTGATCAGTGGTATCTCCATGATACTTTTCCCTTGAATGCCTTGAACTTCTATGGGATCTTGAAGATGAATGACGGGAACATCTATCTCTAGAATGTCTTGATTCATCCTCTCTGTATTTTCTGTCCTTACGAGAAGAATCATCCCTGTCATGACTCTTGTCTGTTTTCCTATTTGTATCATGATTTTGTTTTTCATGATCACCATTTCCTAGGCTTCTCTTCTCAGATTTTGATCCCACAGAATCCAAATCCCTTCTGTCCTCCTCAATATGATCCTCATCCTTCCTCTCATGACACTCCAAAGCAGCATCATGTTTAGATCTCTTGGAATTACTATTCAGCATTTCATCTTCTGATGCGGATGAACTCCTTTTATGAGCAACAGAAGACACATCTAGTTTCTTATCTTCCATTGGATCCTTTAGATACTTTTCATCTTTGTCACCTCTATTGCCTCTATCAGATCTCCTTTTTTTATCCTCCATCTCAGATTTTTTGCTGTCCTTTTTATCACTGTTGCGATTCTTCTCTTGAGATCTGGATCTAGAACGCCTACTACGGCGAGAAGAATGATGGTCACGAGTTGGCGACAATTTGCTTCCTTTGTGCTGTCCTGGTGACCTTGAACCAGCTCGAGCTGACCTCCGTGATTTCGAAGGGCTTAAACTTTCTTCTCTGTGTCGCTTGGGTGACCGAGAATCAGATCTGGAGGACTTCTTATGCCTTGGACTTATACTTCTACTTCTGTTTCTTCTTGAGCTAGATGAATAGTGGTCACGAGATCGGTCGCTCTCTCTTCTCCCAGACCTGCCATACTTGTCTCTATCATCCCGATAAGATCGATCACTACCATACTTTGAGTGGTAAGATCTTGATGGTGATCGTGATCTACGCCCTCGTGTGTGTCTAACCGGCGGAGAGTATGATCTAGACCGCCTGCTCCGGCGGTACTTGATAGGTGATCTTGACCGAGATTTCGATCTACGGGCAGAAGGTGATGGCGACCTATAAAATAGGCATACTAGTCAGTGTCCATCTTGCAATATGTATAAAGTAAAAAATTGAAGTATTTTTTCTTTTTTCTTTTTGTTCAAAGTAGGGGCATGTCTAAGGTTAAAAATGTGACAGGTGAAAATTTCATGCTCCCATGCAGTTAATGAGTCATGTTGCTCATCGCAAAAAAAAAAGTCATGTTGCTGAAAGTTGACATGCCGAGACATCTCCCATTCTCTTATGAATGCTTCACTTTGAATATTGATACAAGAAAACCACACATACATATATACAAAAAAAATGTGAAATATATATGGAATAACAGAACCACATTGTTGAAAACTAAAGCCACCACTTCAAAATAAAGCACAACTTTCTAATCGCATGTGCCCCATCAATCACCTCTAGTACGAAAAAAAAAACATAGCAAGATTTTCTGCACATAAGTAAATATATTATCTAATTTCATTTCCTACAATTGAAGCTGATAAGAACCATGAGGGATGAGAACACAGTCTCTGTCACCTAAATCTTACGAGCAAATGACCATAATTTGTTACAATATGAGGAGAAAAAAAAAATCTAATCAACAAATACTAAAAGCATACCGTAGCAGTTCAGGTAAAATTAAAGAAGAATCAAGCACTACCTTGACTTCCCTCTGGCATCCTTCTCTTCGACAGTTTCCCCACCAAAGCCCTCCGCTTTCAACTTCCTGCTTATCTCAGCAGCCCTTGCAGCTGCTGCTTCAGTGGCGGATTTCATGGTGGCTGCGCGCGCAGCAGCCTGTTGAGCTGCTATTGTCTGCTGCATTATCAGAGCCTGCTGGAATTGCATCTGTTGCAACTGAACAGCTTGCTGCATCATCATGGGCAGATTGCTATTTGCCAAATTAGTTTTGGGAGGGAGGGATTTGGCCATCTCAACATTCAAGGGGCGACCACCAACATCCATGTTGTTGAGTGCCAGCGCTGCAGTTGCTTCTTCTTGTTTGGAGTATTCTACATAGGCAATATGTTTTGAGTCTGTGATGGTGCAATCAACCACTTTGCCACAGTATCCAAATAGCTGCTTAATATGATCCACCGTAAGAAGTGGGCTTAGGTTGCTAATCTGAACCATTTTCTTCAGAACATCACCTTTATCAGTTTTATCTGTTGAACCTACAACAATGGAACGTGCAACGTAAGCAATGTATCCTTTGGCAAAAAAGAAACACTGTTTAAGTTCTTCAGTATTACATATTAGGCCCTTCAAATACCATTGTTTTCTCATTTTGTCTCGGCTACAAATTTAATGTTTTCTAGAAAGATCTAAGATGACTGAATAGCGACAAATATGCACAGTATCAAAGCTATTTTCAGAAGCACTCTCGGTGACAAAAGTATGGAGGGTGTATTAATGATAAAAAAAACTCAGATTCGTTTAATCTGCTCAGAAAGTGTATGATTTGTTTTCATCCATAGCAATTATACAGGCATTTAGCTAGCTTCAGCAAAACAACAGAAATATTGATGCAATTAAACTGAAGTTCCATATAGAGTTTGTAGTAGTAAAGATGACTAAGATAGTAAAAATCAAGAGCAACAGCATAGAAACTGAAACCAATGCAAATATGCGAGGCAGACTATACACTCATAACCCTAGAGCATCTAGGGACAAGAAAACAGCATCCCTTAAAGGTTGAGGGATTACCTGAAGCCTCCCCTCCTGCAGCCTTGGAATCAGCCTGCATCTGCGCAGCATGTGCCTGCAGTGCCTGTGCAGCCATGATGGCCTGAGCAGCAGCCATGGCAGCAGCAGATGGTGCCATGGGCGCCTGGCTGAGCGCACCGACAGATGTAGTGGCAGCCAGCACGGACATGAGCAGCTGCTGTGGCGGGTGGTTGAGCTTGCTACAGTCTGTGGCCTTGGTGCACTTGCCGTTGATGTGCTCCCGGCAAATCTCCCCAAGCGAGGCACCAACACCAGGCAGCACAACCCCACCAGAGGCACCAGTAGACGCAGCAGGGAGGAGGCCGAGAAGGCTGGGGAAGGCAGCCGAGAGGGCGCCAGCGTAGTTTGGCATGTTGGGCATGGTCTGGTTGACCATGTTGGGGTAGGCGGAGGAGACAGCCGGAAGCGTGGGCGGGAAGGTGGAGGTGACGACGGTGGCGGCAGTGTTGGATGCGCTGAAGAAGACGGGGAAGGGGCTCCCCATGACGGGCGACCCGTCGAGGTCGACGTGGACCATGTAGTTACCGCGCTTAGGGACGACGTAGGTGACGGCGTAGGAGCCATCGCCGTTGTCCTTGACTGCACCTTCGAGGTCGTCGCCGCCGACGCCAGCTGCCGGGGAGACGCGGACGCGGACGCGCGCGCCGCCGGTTGGGACCCTGCGCGAGTCCCGGTCCTTGGAGACGACGGTGAAGGTGGCGGGGGCACCAGCGGAACCACCAGCGATGCCGGGGCCGGCGGCGGAGGACTTGGAGGGGTCGACTGGACCGGGAGGGGCATGGGGGCGGTCGTCGTCGTCGTCGTCTGCGTCGGAGTAGGCGTCCCGAGAGGCTTGGGCCGGGGAAGAGGGGCGGTGGAGGTCGTCGTCCTGGTCGGGGTCGTCGGCGGCGGATGCGGAGAGGGCCTTGAAGGTGGCGTCGAAGGCGGCCTTGGCGGCGGCGGCGGTCTCGGCCTCGGACTTGAGCTTGGCCTCCTCGGCCTGGCGCACCCAGATGGGCTTGGGAGCCGCCATGCGAGGAGAGGGAGATCGACGGGGCTAGGGTTTGGTTTCGGCTTGGAGCCTGGAGGAGGAGGATTCGATTCGATTCGATTGTGGGGAGGAGAGGGGAGGTGAGCAGCAGCAGCTTCTCAAATCCCAAATCTCTCAACAAGAGGGCAAGGGAAAGGGACTTGTTTCTCGTGTTGTTGGGCCGTACCAGGACCAGGACCAGGCCCAGGCCTAAGCCTACGCCCACTATTCGTTGTTGGATTAAGTTTACCAAATTTATCCTTAAACCGAAATACCATATATAACGGGAACCGCCTGTGTATCACTCGGGTGATTTTTGAGAGATTTTTTCTTCCCTTGGATTTGCATCCAACGGACTATAAAATAAACATATGTAATTTTAGTTATATAGGACTGTAATTTTATATTTTAGTTTCAAATGTCTTAATGTTTTAACCGTTAAAGAAATCAATTTTTATTTAGAAAAGAACCGGGCCTAAGCATCCAACACACGGCCTTATCCATGCATGCAGCCCCACCAATTCTTGCATAAATCTTGGCCCACATATGGTGCGACTAAAAAAACGTGAAATGCCTAAGAAAAAATCACACGATAGACGTGTAGCAAAATCATATATAACGGGTCCCTCAATATACAAAACAGGATCGTCCGAGGTTCTAAGGCAGTATTATGCCCGGTTTTAGCTAACATGTCAAAGCTGAGTCAATGTGGGACTCATGGGACCCACATGTCAGCGGCTAACGCCCACAAATCACCACCTAGGAATAGCAAATTTCCAAGCGACCCCATGGTACAAGGCTACAAGCTTTGACGACGAGCCCTGATCCACTAATGAAGCTTGCTCTACGCCTCTACCATGAAACCTCCTAGAAGATAGCTCGGATTCCACTAAATTACCTCTTTCCATACAGAGGTCAGGAAAACCTTCACAAACTTCTCGCGGCTCACCGCACGCTTGGGAACTCACTGGGCGACGTCTTGCCGTCTAGAAGACTTAACCCCCAAGAGTAACAAACGCAATCGAATACTTGCTTGCTATGAACTCAAGTGTTCAAAGATTAGAGTGAAGCTCACTAGCTCTTAACTTTTCTTCTCAACCTCTCTCTCAGCACCAAATCCCTTCTCTTATCAAACCTTTTTTCAAATCTCACTCACAAAGAGTTCTACCACAACGGTATGATATTGGAGAATGACTCTTTGGTTTTGGATGAATCTGAGCTTGTCCAAAGTCAGCAAGCATGGATGGAGGGGGTTAGCCATTACACACAAGTATGTGCAGTCCCCAAAGTATCTAGGTCTCGGGCCCGAAGTCTCCTAAACACCTCGAAAACTAGCCATCATGCACAAGTAAGTACAGAGGCCAGAATCTCCTAGATTTGGCCCAGAGTCTTTGGGAAGCCTTTTCGGGTGCCTGGAGGTTCTATTCCAGAGTCTCCTGTAATGTAAGCCCCGGCTTGCACAAGTTTGGAGTCTCTTGGTCTCGACCCGGAGTCTCATGACCACTTGACAATACCTGAAGAAAAAACCATAACTTCTTGCTTCGGACTCAGTTTCCAATGATTTTGGACTCTATGGAAAGCTTATTGAAAGGGCTACCCAACCCCACCAAGAACAAAGCTTTTAAACCACTCATAGGATAGACTAAAACTTGGATTTCTTTATATGGTAGCACTTCCATAGGTCACTTTGAATACTAAGACATAAACAAACACATCAACGTTGCATTCCTCTTAATAGTACAACATTCCTATACTCAAATGCAAATAGAAAAACTATACCAATACAAATGCCTTCACTTCATCTTGTTTCTTTACTTCAAGGGTTGCCAACGTCAAAGTCATTTCACCTTCAGGACTATTCTCCTACAACTCAATAAACGTATTAGTCCCAAATCAATTATACCCTTGCCTTGATCAGTGCCCTTAATAATAAAAAAACAAATCACATCTTATGATCTTTGGCATTACATTTTTCATTTTTCAAATGATTGACGCAGATAATTCGTAGCTTCGAATGGTTTCACATGGTCCATCACGACAATGTCTTCACTCACTCCTCTCCATCGGAATTGGTTTGTCGGTGCCAAGCCCCTTGCTTGCCCTTCGCCACCTCATGGTCCATCGTAGCCGAGTTTCACTTGAGCTTCACCGTCTTGCCATAGGTAACTACTTCATATTACACATCTTCAATCTCTTCTCTTTGGTTCTCATCAACCAATAACATCCATCCTCTAGCTTCTCACACCATCTTCATTTTTATCAACTTCAACAATGGGGTTTACTCCTTCAACATGTCCACCAACTCATGATGGGATCTCCTCAAGCGTTATCATCGTCAACATTTGATTCTTGTTGATTCCCAATATATGAGGTGTCATATTTCTTGTCATAAATCCACAACCTTATCACTTGAATCTCACATGTCAACCATCAACCTTTTTTTTCTGATGCTAAAACATAACGTATCATCACAAACTCATAGCAAAGGTTAATTCCAACAACCTTGTCATTAATCACCAAAACTCATCCTAACACGAGGTTAGAGGACTTGATCTTTTACTCATTTCTTCCCAATCCCCCTCCAGGGCAGTGACGCATGGCTGGTTGTTGCATTTCCTCGGTGTAGCGAGGATGGAGGTAGTGGGGGACGGGGCAGGAGCGGAGGACAATAGGGGCAGCCGGTCCTCCTCCATGCAGAAGCGTGGGCGGGGCATCGGCGGTAGTGGAGGGGTGGAGATGGTGGCGTAGGGGCGAACAGGGACGACATCGCGGATCTACAAGGTGAGGGCATCAACGTCGCCTCCCCGGCCATAGACACGCTCCCATCCCTTGACCCCGCATTCACCTCCATCTCCCCACCAACGTGGATGCCAATGCCACTGGGGTGACAAAGCGACGGTCGCAACAGCAACAACAGCTCAACAATGGCTTCAACCTGGGAACCTGGGTGTCTTCGATGTGGGCATCAACTATAGGAGCATGCGACATCTTCTTCGGCTCTATCGCGGCTGAGGAAGCCACTGTCTTCTCCGATTCTGTCACGGCGTGGTGTATGGTGAGGCCATAAGTAATTTGGGAGGAGGGGTTGTTGGGGGCGATGGATGTGTGGAGCACGAAGGAGGGCCCACCAGTGGCGGATGCGGCAAGGGCGGCTTCCTCCTCAGGGGTAGGGAGCAAGGATGGCTTGTGGGAGCGTTGGTTGAGGAAGTGGCCAGAGTTCTTGAGCGGCATGATTACGGTCGACGCAGCCTCGGTGGCTAAAGAGGGATGATACGTGGGTCCCACTGTATTTTTTTATTTTTAACCGAACATTAACAGGTATGTGGGTCCCATAGTTTGTTTCTAACTTTAAGTGCCATGTCAGCCGAAACCGTAGTCCATACCATTTTGGGACCTTATTTGCACCGTTATTACGGTTGAGGGACGAATTTTAGACTCTATGACTGTTAACGACCAAATTTGGTAATATCAGTATCGGAGATGAAGATTTGATTAAAGCGAGATCGAAGATGAAGATTGTCGCGGAAACAGAGTAAGAATCAGCTGAAGTCCGGATCGGCTACGATTGGATCGGCTGAGTTGGAGTCAGACTTGGTTAGGTGATGCAGCCGATTCCGACAATACGACTTGGTGTACGACATCGGGTTGGGTTGAGGTGCTTCAAGATGATTGCCACGCATGGATAGAGTCCTGGGAAGGCAATTGTATCTATTAATTAGGACATTTTATGTAATTTCCTTAGAAATATGCTTGGGCAAAAGTCTGCCCTAAAGACTTGTGGTATCTTAGAGTTTGTTAGAGATAAGAGTCGTGTCCGGTATGGACATATTTTGTAATTCTCGGGTATAAATAGGCCCGAAACTCATGTAATCAATTAACCACACACGTTCAATACAATTTCGGCGCATCGCCACCTTTTTGCTTTAGTTTTATTTCGACGAGTTCTTGCTTTCGGGTTGAGCTGCATCAGTTTTGATCTTCAACAAGAGGTAAAACTTGTTATGATGGCTTGTGTTCTCGGGATTAGTGCTTCCATCTTTATGATACTCTAATCTTGTTTACGTAATTCGTCGAGTTATCATATATCGTACATAATCTCTAGCAATATCGCTATCTAACCTACAATCGGCTAACATCTGTTAGTAGAGGGCAGCCGATTAGGTTAGATTTTGATGTTGATTTAGATTATATAAGATATCTACCACTCTATGAAACTTCCAGCGGCTTGATTGTCTAGATATTGTTCTTCTTTTCATACTTAATGCTGCATTAGTTGAGTTTGATCTATTAAGTCGTGCTTAGAATATCAATCTCTAGCCTGCCTTCTGGTTGCCGATTAGGGTAGTATCGAAGTTTCAACCGATCTTATCTGATTTAACCATATTCGCTCTATATGCTTCAGTGACATGTTAAATCCGCCCTTTATGTCAAGATCTTATTGCATTTAAGTATATTAAGGTTTTGTTTGATATATTATACTTGTTTTAATATCCTGATATAGAGTAGTATCGGAGTATTAGCCGATACATGCTAGATCTATATGATCGGCTATGCTATAAACATATATAGTCCTGTTATTAATATATATTTCGATCCAAGTGATTTATATTGTCTCGGCATGGCGACCGATCTATCCCAATCACTTGATTTAAATATATATCGATATAAGAACTATATATTGGTAATATCTACAGCCGATCGAGTAGGTTTAGTTCTTTATTATCTATTTATAGTCGCCGATCAATTCACATATGACATCGGCTCAAAGATAAATGATATGTCATCGGCACTTAGCCGATCGGCTATCATTTATAGATTTAACCGCGATCTGTTTGTTTCTATTTCTTGTTGATTGCAGGATCAAATCAACTGGCACGCTAACACACCCGAAGGCGAGCTTTGGGCCTGCACTGGAGTTAAGCAGATCTCCCAGGCCTCGTGTTTTACGTCAACAGTGACAAATTTGAGGAACCAAAATAAACTTATTTCTTCGATGTTAATTAGTAGTTGCAAGGGACTAGCCGACGCTCCATTAAGGGTGTGTTTGGTTCCTAGTCAAGGTTGGATAGAATATGACGGTCCATATTTTGCTAAATATGGAATATGGTGATCCAGTTTTTTGGTGGAGTGGATATGTCGATCCAATTTTTTTGTTTGGTTTTAAGGATGAAGTTGGATTTGGTGATCTTTTTTTTTGTTGGGAGAGTAGGATGGATGAATGGTTCCAATCACTCTTTCATTAAAGGTGGTGAGTATACCCCTCTTCAAATTCACCTAACCCAAAAAACAGTACTTCCTCCGTTTCAGGTTATAAGACTTTCTAGTATTGCCCATATTTATAATGATGTTAATGAATCTTTCAAAAATGAGAAAGAAATAAGAGAAAATTTGATCCATAGCACAGGAAAAAACTCGGTACCAAAAAATAGCACAACAAATTTACCACTTCGACCAGAAGCATAGGGCACCAATTTTCTTGCGATTTATAACACTCCCGTCACATTTGCCATCCAAACATGTGAGTTGATATGAAAAAAAAAGACTCATTTGCCCTTCTTCCCCAAGCAAGAGGGCAATGGAGCTCAGACCAACGGCTCCCTCATGCTCCCCCCGCGTCGCCCACGTGCAGGCCACACGGTGGGCGAACCCCGCCGTCGCTGCCGCCCCCACTCCCCCCTCCCCCTTCCTCGCCACCGCCGGAGCTCACCGCCGGCAAAGCCGACTGGTGAGCGGGGATGGCGGCGGTGGGGCCTTCTCCCGGCGTTGGTGAGTGGTGGCAGCGAGGTCTCCCGGCTAGGAGGTGGTAGATCCGGTGCCGCCGTCGCTGGATCTAGCAAGGCCCTCCGACTTCGGCGGTGGAGGGGCCGCTGCGGCGCGAGGCGACGGTGACTCCAGCGCGCGCGGGCGGCGGAGGACAGTGCTCGGGTTGACACGTTGAGGCGTCGGGGCCAGCCGGGGCCTCCACCGTCGGCTCCGGTGGACGGCGAGACGCGTCGGGGCCAGCCGGGGTCTCCACCGTCGGCTTCTCCGCCAGCCACCGAATCCCCTTCGTCCATGCTCCCAACATCGCCACCAGCTCCGTCTCCGCCCATCGGGTCATTGGCCTCGGCATCACTTCTAACAACGACGACAGCCTCACGGGTGGCTCGACCGCGTGCAGCTGCGAAGCAAGGCAACTTGGTTGACGGCGGCGGCAGTGGCGGCGACTGCTTGCGAGGTGCGGCGTGGCGACGACGGCTATGGCTGGAGGGTGGTTCGACCGTGCACGGTTGGTCCATGCGATGGCTGCGAGGCACAGTGAGGCGACGACGGCGGCTCCTTGCTCGACCGCGCATGGCGTAGCTGCTCCGCAGAGGGCCTGACGCGACGAGATGACATGGTCTAAAGGTAAATTAGTCCGAGGATATTTTTTTCTACTCCAAACTAACACCGTTAGCTTAAAATATAACGGAAGTACTATGTATCGAAGGAAAATTGGTCCCTGTGCTTCTGGTCGAAGTGAAAAATTTATTGTGCTATTTTTTGTGGTACCGGTTTTTTTTCCTGTGCTATGGATTGAATTTTCTCAGGAAATAAAAGCGGAAAGGAGAAAAACGGAAAAAAGGAAAAAAAAATTGGTCCCGCCCGCCGACCGCCGCCGCGCCCCCTCTCCCGCCCGCCGCCCGCCGCCGCGCCCCCTCTCCCGCCGCCCGCCGGCCGCGCGCCTCCTCTCCCGCCCGCCGGCCGCGCGCCTCCTCTCCTGCCGGCCGCCGCCCCGCCTCTCCCGCCCGCCGGCCGCCGCCGCGACTCCTCTCCCGCCGCCTGCTCCAGATCCGGTCATCGTCGTCTCGGTCGTCGTTGTCGTCGTCCCGGTCTTCGTCGTAGTCGTCTCCTGCCGGGTCGTCATCGTCGGGGCGGCGGGTTACGGGCCCACGGCTCTCCTCAGTGCCTCTCTCCTCGGGGCGTCCGTTCAGCCATGGCGCCGCCGCCGCCGCATCGACCCTACAAGCGCCCCGCCATCTCCGACCAGCAGCGCCGCCGCGACCTCGCCCTCCAGGCCCAGTCTGCCCGCCGCGCTGACGCCCAGGCGCGCGCCCGCAGCCTCGCCAACTCCCTTCTGTCCCCGTCCTCTGCCGCTGCCGACACAGCAGTGGAGGGCGACAGCGAGCGCGATCATGAGCCCACCGTCGCCGAGGCCGCTTCCAAGCTTCGCGGCTCCGATGCGCGCCGCTGGTTCGCCCGCCAGATCATGCTCCCGGAGTGGATGGCTGACGCTCCTCCCCACCTCGCCACCGACTGGTTGCTACCTTCCCCTCCCTCTCCCAACTCCTTCTCTTTACTACTACGCATTTCAATTCGAGTACCCCTGTTATGTTAGTTATGATTCTTAACCTGCAAATTTCACTTTTACTGCTTATTAAACTGTATGTAGTATACTACTACTACTACAAGTTTCAACAAAGGATCGGCCTCAACAATTCTTCTCTATGTGTAGGCATGTTTTTGCCAGACCTGCCGGGAAACGGTGCTTGGTCGTCTCTTGCAACGGCATCACCATTAGCAGGCTCCGAAATGGATCCATTCTCCACCGATTCCCTTCCGCTCTTCCAAATGGATCAAAGAGAGACATCTCCGGACCAGCAAGTTCCTATTCCATCCTTGATTGCATCTTTCATGAGGTGCTACCACCTGATCCATCCTTCTTGACCTGCCTTTTCTTTCTTTCGTTTTTGGCTTGTTCATTCATAACGTTGTCGTCTCTCTTGTGCTGCAGCCTGATGAAACATATTACATCATTGATATGATCTGTTGGAGAGGCTACTCCTTGTACGACTGCACCGCTGAGTTTAGGTTCTTTTGGGTGAATTCTAAGCTCATGGAGACCACTGCTGGTGATCCTCCATCAACGTACCATCGCTACAGATTCAGTGCTGTCCCTATATACGAGTGCACGCTTCAGGGTCTTCAAGCAGCATACTCAGGAAGCACACCATATGTGAAAGATGGCTTGCTGTTTTACAACAAGTAACTTCTCTTTCTACCTTTGATGATGTCTTCTTTGTTAGACATGCCCTCATATCTGCTAACTGCCTTTACAGTTTACATCACTGCATTGACTAACTGTTTGTTGTCTTTTCTCTTAAAAGGCATGCACATTATCTAGCTGGTATCACACCCCTTGCACTGGTCTGGAAAGATGAGGCTTGTAGTCAATATGTTATTGACACAGATAGCAAGGGACAAGTCCCAAGTGAGCAGCATGTATGTTTCATTCTTTCAATGTTTGCTTCATGTTGCAGCTAGCAAGATAATTATTTTGCCGATAGAACTCCATTTTGGGGCATTTTGTTTCTCTTTACAAAAGGGCATCATATTTAATAATTATCATCTTCAATACTCTCAGACGAAGATGTTGTCAACTCTGATGCCCTGCTACTACTTCTGTTCCCCAATACAAAACTTCTCACGTGCCTTGTTTCTTCCTGTACAATCAGATTGTGCTGGATCTGCAAGAGGATGGAAAGCTTACTACTTCTGATGATCCTCCAGTTGTCTTTGGTAGCTTGGACAATGAATTCATTCAGAAGGTACTGTTGTGTAATGCAGCCTACATTAAAAAAAGTGATAATTACATAGGATTATATGCTTTCATGGTTCCCCGATTTTTAAGGGTGGAAATCTGCATCAGAGTACCTTCCACATGGTGCTCCAAGCTTTTAGTTGTTGATATGAAACCAATGAATGGTTATGTTGATTGTATACCCTATCTGGAAGTGTTACAATGCTATGCTTATAAAGTAACGTGCTTATCCTGATTAGGCACCAGAAGTGCCTTCCTGCACTGTGATTTCAGTCCTTGCCTGAACCTGTTTGAAGCATTAACTTACTGTTACATGGCTGTACAGTCAAACCTGCGGCCAGGGAATCTTCTTCGCTTTGCTGTCAAAGATGAAAGAGTGAAACTTGTGGATGGAAAGATGGAGATTAGTGAGCTTCAATTTGTTGGAAAGCCGAATCGTGCTCGTGCTTTTGCTGACAGCCACTCGAAAGTAAGTGGCCACTTGAGAATGCATTTTTGCTGAGAAAATATCATCTCATTCATGCCTTGTAGCCAATGGTTTGATCGCCTTTTGTATGTTCAGGCTTTGTTCCAGTACGCTGCTAGGCATGCTCCTCTGAGAATTGAGGATCTCGTTGCCTCGATTCAGTCAAACAATATGGAGCTTGAATCTACGGATGTTGAAATGCAAGGTTGATGGGAGGGAATTAATGATTCGTCATCAGATCAGACAAGGAGGATACATGTGCTAATTTTACTGGATTCAGTAAGACATGGACGGTCTTTATGCAGGAAAAGGAACAAATGTAAAGTAGTAGTATATGCATCTGAAATTGTTGTTCCAGGTTTGGATGGAATGGGAGCATGATAGTATTAGCTTGATTGGGACTATTACACATTTATTTACACCCCAGATTGTCTTGCCTTAAACCTAACCAAACCATTTGCTAACTGTGCTGCTAGCGTACGGTAGAATATTGTTCGGATCAGATTGTATAGTACAAGACATTTCTGGCTAGGTTCAGATGGAGATTTCAGCGAATGATGTGATTGTGTGAAAACCATGATTATCAGGGAGGGGTGCGTTTCCAGGCCTGACAGATATTATCACCTCAAGGCCTGCGGCGGAAGAAAAAAATATACTTGTGATTAATAGAGGTGTTACTGAAGTACTACTAGGAGTGATGTTAATGTGCAGCGCAGCGGCGGAGGGGACGGCAAATTTGCTGAGTGAGAGTGGAGTGAGGCTGACCTGCAGTCTTTGCTGCAGCGGCTTCTTGGTAGACGTCTGTCAAGAAGAGGATCTGGGAGGGGCGGTCCGTGCCCAGAGTCTGCCAGATCTCGTAGTAGCTGCTAACCTCGCGCTTGGCCCTGCAGCATGGGTGCATGCATGCATGGTGAATTGTTTGTTTTGTTGGTGATGGATGGTAAGCCTTACTACCAGCTAAGGTAGGCACCCACCCTATTGTGGTGTCGAAGAATCCGCAGAGGTGGTCGCGGAGATCGCCGTGTGCAGCGGTGTTGGCGAAGATGAGGCGCTGGGCCTCCCTGCTTCCGCTGGAGTAGATGTAGGCCTTGGCACGCCACCGCCGCAGCGCGTCCGCCGCGTCGTCGTACACCTCGCTCCGCAGCTCGCCGCTGTCGAAGCCCCGCCGCCAGATGCGCCCCTGCAGCTGCTTCAGCGCCGTCACCTTCCTGTCCGCGCGAATCATGCTCTCCACGTTCGCCGCCAGGGCCTCCACCACGGCGCCTTCCCCTTCCCCTTCCGCATCCGGCGGAACCGCCACGGCACCGTCGACGCCCTGCGCGAGGTCCTCCTCCACCTGCGCCCGCAGCAGGGCCACGTCAGCGCGCGTCTCCTCGCTGCTGCCGTAAGTGGCGGCCAGGTGGCGGCGGACATTGTCGCGCGCGTAGGGGAAGAGCACGTCCGCCACGAAGGAGATGGGCGTCGTGGTGCCCTCGATGTCCAGCACCACGCGTTGCTGCACCACCATCCATCCATCCATCCATCAATCAACAAATTAAGATAATAATGCTCAACAAATTAGTAAGATCGAAGCAGCTTACTTACTATTGCGCTCAGGTCAGGAAGCTCGGAGGAGGCCATGGCCATGCCTGCTCGGAGTCGGAGGCCATGCTTCTTATTTTTGGCGTGGGATGGGGAGGAGACTACTGGGACAGGATGGCACCACAGCGTCCAAGGCCGGTTGCTGCTGCTGCTGAGAACGGTGGTAGCCTGCTGCATCTGCATCTGCACCTGCATGCTACGCTCCCTGTCGCGGATGGAATGGATGAGTAATATCAGATGAAATTACTACTACTACTACTACTACTACATGTCACCGGAAAGGAAAGGAATGGATAATGGATTGGATATATGGGCGCGCGACTGTGACCACCCAGACACTGACCAACCAACCACACAACGCACCCAGATTTCATCCATTTCATTCTCTCACACCAACCACACGCACTCCCCTTGGAGTCCCCCGATTTCACATCGCATTGATGCCTTCAAAATGCAGCACAATGAATCAAAGCATAATGCTTCGGCCTCATCATTCTCATGGCTGTTCATTTTGTCCCATGCCTGAAAAATTCTAACTTCCACAATAAAAACAGGGTTTTGGACTCTCACCCAAGGAGGTTTTGTTCCGGCGTCCATCCTAGAATGAAATCCTGCTCCGATCCCATGATCCTAGTATGTTGAATCGTTTACATTAGTCAACATTACTAAAAAGACGGCCGATCTGTATATACAAGGGAGGGAAAAGGCACGAAAGGAGAGCATACTTTGGTCTTGTGGATGGATCATCTTGTTGTTGCGATGCAGATCAACACCGGCGCGCAGAAGACGAGCCACGGCCGAAATTCCTTCAATAGCAAATTGAAACGGAGAGAGTGCTGCCAAATGGCCCTCAGACTTCCAGTAAGGCAGCAACATCTATGCAAGAAAAATTATACTGGACACTTCTTTTTGAAAACAAAGAAAGCACAAGCTGCAAACTAAAATATAGAGTAGTACCAAAATCACACCAGGGCTACACTAACTACAAATCCTCATTTATAGTAAGTACATTCTCCGTCCTAAAATATATAGTATACTACTAAGATATCCAATCTGGTCCTAGATTGCTATATTTTGGGATGGAAGAAGTACATAGATTATACCTGAGAGATGTCTCCTCAATCTTAGGTCATCCACCAGCAGTTGCAGCCTGCATTCTTCATCTGACTACAACCCTTTTCCGTTCCTGGCGACAGCTAGCCAAGCTCCTACCAGTAGTCTCCACAGGAGCAAACCCCATCCTTGAAATGGTGGAACCTGCGTGAGTCTCTTACGATGATATCTCTGTTCACAATCTTTGATATCATCTTGATGACAGCATGGCAATCTAGGCACGCAGTCAGATTCTTCATAATCCTGATAGGTGTCCCAGCTGGGGTGTTCATCAGAGCAAATGCAATGGCCAATCTCTCACTGTGGTATTTTAACGACTCCAGCTTTAACTCATGATCCACCATATGCAAGGCACAGGTTATGTCGGGCTTATAGCCTTGTTTATCCATCTCTTTGTATAATCTGTCTAGCTCGTCTTTAATCTCATCTATCATTGGGCTGGTTAGATCATTTGAAGCAAAGCTGTATATCTTTTGCTTGATTTCAACCCAACTGTAACCCGACTCTTTCCTAACCCCTCTGTCTCTCATAATCTTCTTCACGCATGCAGCATCTTCCCACTGACCAGCTCTGGCATATATGTTGGACAATATAACATAGGGTGTTGCATCTGTGGGTTCCATACCGAACAGTTTATCAGCTGCCACTCTAGCTAATTCCTGGTTTCCATGAATTCGACACGAGTGAAGAATGGAGGTCCATATTATTGGATCAGCCTTGAATGGCATCTCAACCAACATTTTCTGAACTTGAGAAAAACAGCCTACCCGACCCAATGTATCTATAACACAAGCATAGTGTTCCTTCCAGGGTGATATACTATATTGGTGTTTCATCAAGTGAAAGTACTTCATGCATTCATCTGCAAGACCATTGTGACTGCATGCTGCTAGAACACTCAAGAAGGTGACTGAATCTGGATTAAAACCACAATGAAGCATGCCTTCAAACATCTTGATGGCATTCTTTGCCTCTCCATAGTGAGCGTAGGCTGAAATAACAGCATTCCACGAGATGGAATTCCTCTCAGGCATCTCATCAAATGTCCGAAGTGCCTCGTCCAAACAGCCACACTTAGCGTACATGTCAACAAGGACACTCCCGGAGAATACACTGGACTTATAGCCTGACCTAATGAGGTACGAGTGCAATTGCCTTCCTAGCCCAATCATTGCGAGGCTTGAGGAAGCCTTGATGATGCTTGAAAACGTTGCCCTGTCAGGCCTTAGACCAGCTCTTCTCATGTCAGAGAACAATTGCAGAGCTTCTTCATGCTGTCCATTCTGCACATACCCAGTGATCAAAGCAGTCCATGAAATGGCAGATTTTTCACTTCTGTTAGAAAAGTTACTCTTTGCAGCATCGAGCATGCCGCATTTTGAGTACATGTCAATCAGCGCATTGCCCAAAAGATCCTCAGAAGCAAGGCCCAGAAGGACCAGCTGAGCATGTATTTGCTTCCCGATGTGCACGTCAGGCAGAGACCCAGCTACGCTTAGCATAGTAGCATAAGGCAACACCTGCCTGTCGAAACCCAGCTTCTGCATCTCCCTGAACAGCCGCAGCACCGTGGCAGCGCACTGGTTCCAAGCATAGGCTGCAATAATCACATTATAGGAGACATTGTCCCGCTCTGGCATCTCATCAAACAGTCTCCTCATGTCATCAAGGCAATCGCATTTGGAGTAGAAATCGAGCAATGAGTTGTTGACAAACACGTTGAGCACTGAGGTGGATCTGAGCACGAGAGCGTGAACCTGATGCCCAAGGAGGAGATGAGCCATACCTGCTGCGACTGTGAGAATACTGGAGAAGGTGAAGTGGGTGGCGGGAATACCAGCGCGGCGCATAGCAGCAAATAGTTGGAGCGCCTGGGTGTGCAGTCCCTCCTTGGAGCAGCCCATCATCATGGCGTTGTATGTGACTGCGTCCTTATCGTGCATCTCCAGAAAGACTCTCCGGGCAGCAGCAAGGAGGCCGTGCTTACAGTAGGCGTCTAGCAGCGTGTTGCAGACGAAAACATGGGTGTCGAGGCCGAACTTGATGGCGAAGGGATGGAGCGACGGGACAGTGCATCCAGGCAGGTTAAGCACGGTGGTGACGGTGACGCGGTCTGGAATGACACCCTCCCCGAGCATAGCGCGGAAGAGCGACAAGGCATCGGAGGTTCGACCAGCAGCGGCGTGCGCCCTCATCATGATTGTCCAGGTGGTGGCGTTGCGATGAGGGGAGGAGAGGAAGAGGTGTTGTGCAGCGGGGAGGTCGCCAGAGCTGGAGTAGGCGGAGAGGATGAGGTTGAGGGAGAAGATGTTCTTGTGGGGCATTTGGTCGAACATGGCGCGGGCGCGGTGAAGGTGGCCGGAGGAGAGGAGGGAGCGGAGGCCGAGGTTGAGCCGGTAGGTGAGGACGTCGAAGCCCGTCTTGACCATGCGGGCGTCGAGCGGCGTGGCGGCACGGGGGAGGGGGAGGGGGAGGGCCGCGGCGGCGACATTGGCGACGACGGTGGCGGTGGTTTTGGAGGGGTGCATCAGAAAGAAAATCGCCAATCGCCACCGACCGACCTCCACCTGGGCCTCGAGCGAGGTGCCTCCTGTCCTGCCCGCCGGCTACTCACCTCCACCTGTTGCCCTGCCGTCTGCCGGAGCGCTGTTGGGCGCCGCCGCCGGTTGTCGAGAGAGGAGGCTTCTTCGTCTGCTACTGCTTCAACCCAACCATGTACTAGTAGCTGTAGGTGGAGTGACCCAGGGGCATTTCGGTCATCAAATGAGAAAAAGAAAAAGAAACCCCAGTAAAGTCAAGGAGTAATCAATTTGGCAATAATAAGGGGAGAGTTTATTTTAACGAAGCCCACGATTCGGATGTAGTAAAAAAAAAGGAAATCAGAGGGGTAATTTGGTCATTTCAGCTTACCGGGCTGTGGGAAATATTGAAGAAAAAATCAAAATGAATTATTAACCCCACAATGCCAAAAAAAACACACACACGTATACACACAAATGAGTCAATGTTGTTAGTGGCATTTTAACAAGACTAAATTACACTAGCGGTTCTTAAACTTGTAAGCATGTTTCATCTAAATCCACGAACTTGTAAAGTGTGTATTAAGATATCTAAACTTGGTTTATTGTATCATCTCGGTCCAAAATCTTATTTGACCGTGGTCCACGTGACCAGCCATATAGATGATGACGTGGCACGTTATTTTTTTCTCCCTTATTCCTCAATCATTTTTCTCTTCTTTGTCGCCGCCGTCGTCGAGGAAGAAGGCTGCATCGGCACCACGCCTGCTGGCGCCGCCTGGGAAGAAGGCTGCTTCAAAGGCACAACACCTGGCGCCGCCGGAGCATACTCCTTCCAAGGAGGAGACGTCGATGGCGTCGCCGGAACGGGCATCGTGGTGCCGTAGCGGCCGCCGGCTTGGGCGCCGCCGGTGGGGCGCAATCCTTTTGGACTGCTGTGACCGTCGGCGGCCCCTCTGGCTTCTTTGGCTGGGTCGACGCGTAGTAATCCACCTCCACCGCCTTCGACGACGGCGACCCTGCGCCACCCTTCGACGGCATAGCCGGCAGGACCTACGCCGCCGGCAGAGACTTGGAAGGATTTGCCTCGACGACTCTCCTCATGCTCAGGTCGAAGCAGCCTGAGACTGTGCTGTTCTCCACCATCTCCCTCACGTAGTCGCGCAGGACCACCACCACCACCACCGTGCCCTGTCGTCCATGGCGGCTGCTCACCGGCTTCCGCCCCGTCACCATATCCAGCAATTAACACCACCCCGAAGCTGAACATGTCGCACTTGTCGCCGCCGTGCCTCGAGCTCAGCGACGACGACGACGCTAGCTCCGGCGCAACGTAGTCTGGTAGGTTGCTCGGTTCAGGCAGAAGCTTGGCTAGCCCGAAATCTAAGAGCTTTGCTTCGTGTTCTTTGTCCAACAGGATGCTTCTTGATTTGATGTTGAGGTGTAGCACCTGAGGTTTGCAGTCATGGTGAAGGTACGCGAGCGCGCGCGCCGTCGCCACCGCGACCATGAACCGCCGTTCCCAGGACAGACCGCCGCCGTCGCCGTCGCTTCTCGCCGGGACCCCACCGGTGAGCTTGTTCCTGGACCAAATTGAGTACCTTCAGGTTGCGGCAATTCGCCATGGTTTCCGGTGGCACGCACAGTTTATCGGGCAGCTCGCTGTCCAGCTGTTGTAGGAGAAGTCGAATCCGGCGAGGAGAACGCAGTTGCCGATGCCCGTCGGGACGCAGCCGGTGAGCGTGTTGTGCGTGAGTGACACGCAGCGGAGGCGGGGGCACTCGCCGAACAGAGTCGCCGGGATCTCGCCGATGGTGAGGAAAAATAAAAAGGGAAAGAGGAAAAAAAACCATATCATCGTCTACGTGGCGTGCCATATAGGCATGACCACGGTCAAACGACGCTTTGGACCAGAATGATACAATAAACCAAGTTTACGGACCTTGATGAACGCTTTGCAAGATCGTGGACCTATGTGAAACCTTGTGACAAGTTTAAGAACCGCTAGTGGATTTTACTCTTTTAACAATTACTCCTGTAATGTTGTGTTATTTTATTGAAGGTGGAGTGGCATATCCTCATTTTTCCCAACTCCAGTGTGACGCAAATCAAATTTACTAGGATTTTTATCAAGCACCATTTAGAATTGCATCTTTGCCGTTAAAAACTTCCTAATCAAATGCTATGTGCCTGTCTAGAAATTTAACCGGTGAAGTTAGAACTCTATAACAAGCGATGAGGTTGCTCGAAAAAGGATCAAAAGCAATATTGAGTGTTCCTACATGCAACTACGAAATAGGCCAGATGACCAGAAATTGAAGATGCTAGTGCAGTACCTGAAAGGAGCTGTTGTAACTGGTGTGCAATAACTATATAGAATTTGCGTCCAAATCAAATGTATCCAACCAATATTATTTTTTTTCCTACGAGACTCTTAAGGGTCTGTTTGGGGAGCTTGCTGCTGCAGTTTTTTCTAGAATCAGAAGCTCATCTAAACAATCCAGCTTTTGGTCCAGATTCTGAGAAGCTGTAGTTATAGAGTCCAGAAAATGAACTAGAAGTCAGAAGCTGAGAAACCCAGCTTTTTCAGATTTTTAGAAGTTGGCTACCTATCAACTGCTTCTCAGAATCTTAAGCTCCTCGAAAAAATACCCTAATAGTGGCTACCATCGCCAGTGATCAGGAGGGTAATTGTGCATGATAATTTGTTTGCCTTCAATAAATACACTACTTGAGCCGAGCACGTACCTCATGTTTTTTTTATTTTTTTTTGCCCGTGAACATGTTAACAGTCTGCAACTTATGCCTAATGGGTAAATGAGCATGGCATGGGTGAGAACTACCCATGCATGTAGGGATAAAAACGGAGCGGATAGTTTCCGTCCGCTTCGAAGAAAAATAAAGACGAATACCTTTCGGATCGGATAATTCTCAGATAGTTCAGATACAGATATTTTCTTCTGGATACGAATACGAATATGGTATTGGAGTTTCCGTTGGATACGGATAATAATTCGGATATCTGGTGAACAATGCTATCCGAATATCCGCAGAAGCTACGAGACATACCACATTTCTTCATAACTTTATGACCTTCAATATACCTTTTTAGATTTTAATAGTCGTTCATCTCTTAACACTACTCCACACTATTAATATTATTTAAATTTTTAAAAATATTTATAAATTATACTACATTTTATATAAAATGAGCTAATTATATATGTTGATATTTGTTTCTATTACAAGTTGAGTTGGTTTGCATGTTTCGAGAAAAAAATGTTTTCGTATTCGTGTCCGATCATATTCGATTCTTATTCGTATCGGAGATAATATGTATTTGTTTCTATATTCGTTTTCGTATCCGGCAAAAAATATGAAAACGAATATGATATGACCATTATCTGTCCGTATCCGCTCCGTTTTTATCCCTACATGCATGTCTTGCTCGTTCACTCACCCAGTCATGGGTGAAAAGTCATAGACAACTGTGGTGTTTGAATCTCCTGAAGATGAAGATGAAGATAAAGATTAAGTGTTTTACGCAAAACGAGATGGTAATAACGTGTGATTAATTGAATTTTAATTATTACAAACTTGAAAAATAGATTAATCTAATATTTTAGAATAACTTCCATATATAAAGTTTTCGCACAAAACACACTATTTAGCGGTTTAAAAAGCGTGCCACTTTTATCCAACTTTTATTGGAGATTCGAACAGGGGCGTTATTAATAGATGTCCTCATCCCCTCAATAGGGTTCAATGTGACATCTCATATCTAGAGCACGTCAGTCATGGTCAATGATGTGCTAATACACCTACTAGGTTTTGAATCCTCTGTCCAAAAAAGAAAAAAAATATCAGGGTTGTATCTCCCTTTAGTCTCCCTTTTAAACCACTTTGCTATCCAAAACCGCCATGACACTAATTCCAATACAGACGAAAACCAGTAAAATCTAAACTGGTTTCGTCATTATGGATGAAAACTAGTAAATCCGAACAAAGATTAGTTTATCGAGTGGTTTGACATATCAGGCCAAGTGGTTGTCATCAAATTTTGAAAACTTTCTTACGAAACTCTTAGGAGCAAAAATAGTTTGATATAATCATTTGGCAATTAATTTCTAAAAAGAATTTTTTACATGTATCATTTCCCTACAAGAAAAATCCAAACCATGCAAAAAGTACAACATTATCTTTTTGATCAAATTGTGGACATTATGGTTACCCCATATTCACATGGCGGTTATATTCCAGCTGGATATATGGTACCAATGATAGATAAAATATCTTTATGCGGACTCGGGTTATATTCTAAACTTGTATGTCAAGAAGATACCCGGGATCCTAGTCGGTTACGATTGTATTTTATCTGTAATCCCATGTTCCGTTAGGATATGGGCTGTACTTTGTAATACGGATCCCTTCCCCTATATAAGGAGGGGTCCGGGTTCCTCTCGGGACGATTCTTTTTCTCCCAATCACACAATCAATAACACACTCGGCGGAATCATCCCCGGATAGGAGTAGGGTATTACTTCTTGAATAAGAAGGCCTGAACCTGTATAAAATTCCTTGTCTCTAAACCTATCAACTTTCCTAGCTTGATAGCCACCCCCTTTTATTATTGCCGAAATCTTATTTCGACAGTTGGTGCGCCAGGTAGGGGGAGCGTCAAGTTCTCGCCAACTAAGTGCGATGGGTTTCGTTTCTGGCATCGACGACTTCGCCTTCTCTCCCGGGCAGGCGTTCCGGTTCGGCAGCCTCAACTTCATCACCAACGACTTCGGCAAGATCTCTCTCCTTGACTCGGACTCAAACCAGTCGGGGAGAGACTAGGTCCCCGCGCCATTCGGTATTCCGAACTCGGCCGAGGCCTACTCCAAGATCATCTCTCCCGAGTCGGCTTCAAACCACTCGGACGAGATCCAATCTACTCTTCCGCGACCAGATCAAGACGACGGGTCCTACCCCTCAATCCTGATGAAACTTCCTGATGACTTGGCCGCTGTCTTCACTGCCAAGACATCTCCCACTCGAAGATCTAGGCGAGCTCCGGCTTCGGCCCCGATCCAATCTAGATCCAGAGAGGTTAGCGTTATACTCCAACCTCTTGGGACAGTCTCGACAGAAGAGTTGGATGGTTACCTTAGCTCTCCCGGCGTCAGTTCTCGGCCAACCGAGATCCTCGACTACGACAATTTCGGCTACCACTACGACCACGGTGACCTCGACAACTTTGACGACAGCTATGAGGATAACTACACGCCCCTCTTCTTCGGCGTATTCATGGCTGACAACGAAACGGAGGAAC